GAGTTGCCATGACAACCTTGCTCTGCAGCTATTTTTTGACTGTAAACTATAAATGATGCTTAAAAAATCCCTACCACAAAACCAACTAACCATTTCCATATTACTTTAACATTGTTAACCCTTTGGGTACCATCCATTTATAAATCTGATAATATAATGAGTAAAACATTTATATTTATTTGTTCAACTGAAATCTGTTTTGCATTAACTTATAATGTTTTATGAATAAAAAGGTCCTGAGATAAAATCTGTTAGTAAAATTGGATACTGTAATAGTGAGTTTTGTATTCATGTTTTACTATATTCACAGATTATTCATTAACTTTTGCAATAATTATTTTAGTGTTTACAAATATATGTGCATTTTGGTTTTACATTTTAAAAATAATTTTATGCATGGAAGATGACCCAGAATCATCAAATTAATATGCTAACACATGTTGGTATTGAGAACATCTCTTTTTAATCTTGTAGGCATAATAAATGCAGTTCCCAGCTTACAAACAGAATTATTGAATTTAAGAGTTAGAAAGTAACTAGGGAAAAATGAACTACTTCATTTTTGGATGAGGAAACTGAGAACATGAGAGAAATAAGACAGCGAATTTGTTAAATAACTAAGTCTAAAACCAAGATCTATTATCTATCAGCACTGTTTTTGTTCAACTATACTGTGCTCTGATTTTTTAAAAAATCTGGTGCTCTTTTGTTTCCTTGGACTAAAAACTCTTGCAATACCTCAACAGCTCCTTCCTTCATTTTTGTACACAAAAGCTGTCTTCTTCTGCATACAGATGTATGGAGCTTATATGTTTGAGGATACAGGCTTTTGCCTTCCATTATTTAACAACAATGAGCAATGTTGGTTTCTGATATTTTTAACTTTATTGGTCTTTCTGAGAGGAACTCAGACAGATGGAAAGAGCTGAATTTTGCTGATTTTTGCATGAACAAAGCAAAATAACAGTTGATTTGCACATTGAGAAAACTCTTAATATAGTTTTATTACAAAAAAAAGAAACCCTGTCTCTAATGACAAGTGATCCTGCCTGATAGATTTCCAAAAGGGCTTATGAGTATGAGATTGTTGAATAACAGATGACTTTTCTTGCCAACTTGTCAAAAAGCCTTAAAATAATTTAGCAGCCAATGACCATTTTTCCAATCTGAAAAGCTCCAAGTAATCCAACATGGAGTTTGGGAGTCCTTAATATTTACTGTAAAGGCATATTCTATTTAATGTCATTAACTGGTTCTGCAAAACCGTGTGCTAGGTGAAACATTATAGGGAATACTATTTCCATGAGAATCGAATCATTATTATGAGATAATATCATTGGTTGGCCAAAAATCCTACTATAAAAGGTTAAATTAGTCCTTTATAGAAAATTGAGAAAGAGTAATCTTTATTATGCCTTTCTATAAAAACAGTCTCTTCTTTCCCTTATTCCAGGGACAGAGATTTTTCACTTAGCAGATGAGGTCAATGGAGATCCACCCTAGACTTTCCCCTTCACATTTGGAGTTGGGGTGTGTGTGTGTGTGTGTGTGTGTGTGTGTGTGTGTGTGTGTGTGTGTATTCCCTCTCAACTATGCTGATTTCCTCCCCCTATTCCTCATCCCAGATGCCAGGCAAAGAATTCAAGGAAAATCAATAATATAATAACAATAGATCATTGTGTTATTCAGTTGTTCCAGTCATGTCTAATGCTCTGTGACTTCATTTGGGGTTTTCTTGGCAAAGATACTGGGGTGGTTTGCCATTTCCTCCTCCAGCTCATTTTACAGATGAGGAAACTGAGGCAAATAAGGTTAAGTAACTTGCCCAGAGTCACACAGCTAATAAGTGTCTGAGGCAGAATTTGAACTTAGGACTTGACTCCAGGCTCAGTGCTCTATCCACTGCATCACCTAGCTGCCCTGACCTAGATGAATAACTATCAAAGGAGAATGAGGAGCATATAGATAGGTAGGAAGAAAACCAAGAGACAATACTGCCAGAAAAACTCAGAAAAGGAAGGGTATCCGGAAGAGAGTGAGTGGTCAACATATATCAATTATTCCTTTGACTTCTATAGCATTTATACAACCTTGGCACTTAGCTAACTGGGCCTGATTATAGTTTATAATTATTTTTTGTACATTGTAATGTTTTGTTTCCGCAACCTTATTACAAACTCCTTGAAAGCCAAGACTGTGTTTTTTTTTTCTTCTTTTGTATATCCCATGTACTTGGCATAATGCTTGGATAATAGGTGCTATGCTCAATATAGATTTTTTTGTTATAAATAAATATATATTTTTAAAAATACCTTGAAAATGTCAATTGACCAAACAAATGTTGCTAGGTAGCTTATGTATTGATAGGCAAATCTTTGAAAGCATATTGGTCTGATGGGGAAAAAATACCTCTTTTTGGCTAAAAATTGGAGATGAATACAAGACATGAGCAGCTAGGAAATGCAGTGGATAAAGCACCAAATGGGTCATGAAGAATCAGACATGACTGAACTGACTGAATAACAACATGATAAAGAACTGAACACTAAAGGGGTAATTCATTAGTAGAGATCCAGTCCTGTTTGAGACTGAGTCCTCTGCTGTTGCAAATAACAAAAGAACTTCCTTTATCAAATGAGCCATTTTATATAGCATGAATCTCTTGATGTCATGGTCAAAGAAGTCGACAAGGCAAGGCAGGATCATTCAACAGCTTAAGATAAATGAATAGGAAGCATTTTCATCAAAATAGTCATGATTTTTGAGTTTATTTATGTCTTATTTGAAAATCAAGCACAGCCTTTTGTTTCTGGACATTGTAAAAAGCTCAGAGTTAGATCAGTTTTCTTTATTTAGTTTTCTGTACAACTTTAGTCAAGAAGCTATAATTCTAGAGAACTCCCTGGGTCTATCTTGGTAGGGAAGTTGATGTTCACAAAAAAAGGAGAATTCTCAAAGCATTTGTCTGCAAGGAACTTTCTACCCGAGTACCTCTCTCTTCCTGTCTCTTGAAAACATTCAGAGCACCAGCTTCCTCCTTTGCTTTTGCATTTAAATCGCCCATGGTTGGCAGCATGTTGTGCTCTTGGCAGGGCATGAATGAGCCCTCGCAGTTGGCTCTGGACTTCCTCAGTTTTGTCATCTGTGCTTGTCAGTACATAGATGGAAATGAAGGCCCCTTTGAGGTGGGTTGAAATAAACCTGGCATTGACTGGCCTCTGTCCCAGCAGGGGTGAAAATGCATCCTAGGGCTGAATAAAATTTTACTTCTCCATCAACCCTTCTTTTTCTTCCTTCTCAACTCTGTACACCCATTGTTTCTATCCTGGGCATTCTTGGATACATCCCAGGGCTATTTTCCTAAGTCCCTCCAATTATTATCTTTTCCTCTGGGATTTTCTCCCTTCCTACACTTACCATCAGTATTTAGATCACCTTGTAGAGAATGTAGCCTGTTTAAAATAGTGAAAGTTTAGCAGATGAAGATTTGTAATAAATCATCTTACACTTTGCACTAAACTGTGAAATAGGCAAAGTAGGTCACCTTACTGTCTCCCCTTTGTGAATTCTTCTTGCTATCTTAGTCGCTCATCTTCCCTCCTTAGGAGTTTGTGCACTAACAAATTACCCTTCCTACTCCCTAGTCACCCTCTACACCCTATCAGTTAGCTGATAAACTCTGAAGTTTCACTGATAAATTAATTCAGTCAATAAATATGACTTTATTAAGCACCTCCTATGTGCCAGGCTCCTCCTATGTGCCAGGCACGTAGGGAATTGTTGAACACATCAAAGTGTTAAAGATTGAAAATGGCTTTTTAAGTAAACACCCCTCTCAGAAGCACTTACATTTTTTTTAAAAGAAAGACAAGCTTTAACCCAAGTACACAAATCTTTAATGGTGGAATTTCAGACATTCTTCCCATGCCTGCGGGGAATGGTGATATATAGAAGCAAGAAAGCCTAGGTGTTCCTCAAATCATCACCTAAGTACTTAACTGCTATATAAGTTATTGATAGATAAAGCTAACCTTATGTGTACAAATTTAAAAGCTTCTAGTCTCTAGACTAATACCTGTGCCCCTCCATATCATATTCTTAGGCTCTTAATATGACCCTGGCTCCAATCAGAGATAAAATATGCTCATGGCCATCTTCTGGAGTTATACCATGCTGGTTCAGATAATAGTAATAGCTAATATATAGAACTTTATGCAGACTTTTGATCCTCACAACAGCCCTGTGAGGTAGGTACTATTTATTTTTCACATTTTCAGAGGAAGAAACTGATAGCATAAGGAAATTTGATTACTGGCCCAAGGTCACACAGTTAATACATATCCAAGGTAGACTTCAAACTCAAGTGTTCTCCTTATTCTAAGGCTAGAACTCTCATCCACTGCACTATGCTAGTCTTAATACTATTCTAATGCTTTATCCAAAGGTTCCACCTGGCAATATTTATTTGCCTCCTGTGTTGATACTGTTTAGGCAGAGGTTTAGTTAGGAGCGTTAGCTCATCTTTACCTTAAGAGCCAGTGAATTGAAAACATTTGCTGCTGTTTTCCTAGTAATCTGGAGAAGCTGGCTTAATTACCAAAGAGGCTTATATATTGATGCCTGAGTGCTACTTATCATGCTCATGGGCTACTAGGCTGGTATGCCAAGGCTTTAGCAAAGAATTCTCATGAAGTGTTAAGCTGTTTAAAGGATGTGTTGTACCTCAAGTTGGAGTTGAAGCAGCGAAGGAAAAAAAAAAGTCAAAACTGCATTTTTTTCACCTTCCACAATCTTAATATCTCATCTCTTCTAAGCTTTGTCCATTATGGATTTTTCCCTGTTTCCTTTTACACATTGTAATGGAGTGATGTTCCTATGTGCTGGTGAGCATCGCTGGATTAGGTTATGGGTTATATTTCTACTTAAGATTAAGTTGTATAGCTTATGGCCTTAGAAAATTATCATTTTTGCATAATGAAATGATTTTTTTTGTTTTAAAGGGAGCCAAGTGCTCTGCCCCTAACACTCCCAAGGCCTTATTCTCCAGCTCCATCACCTCCACAGGCACGACAGGATAATAGGTAAGCGAATAGGGACACCATGCTAAGTACTAAATGCTACTCTGCTTCATTCAAGCCTGTCTAGTGAAAGCATTCACTAATTTCCCACCAAAGCGTATTCTGTTAGCTACTCTGCTGCCCCTAGAAACCCAACTTGGTAGCCTGGCATCCTGGGATTTTGTCCAGTCTCTTCTGCAGGGGGTAACCTACCGTATCCATGAATTTGCTTCCATATGGAAGGAATTATAATTCATATGACTTGTTCTAACTTCATTGCCTATTTTAAGATATCCATTCCTTCACTAGTGTCCTTTAAATGAAATTAGAACAACTTGCATATTTGAAATTGCTTTAATCACAGCAAGATAATTTAAATGAAAGAACATGTAAAGGAAATGTTTCCTTTGTAATTAAGAGATAGCCTCTGGAGGAAAAATAACTGTTGAAGATAGTTTCTTGAGAATCAGTAAGAAAATATAAGAAGGCCAGGCAAAAACATAGAAAAAGACCAAAGATAATCTTTGACCCCTTTCATGCTTAATTTAGTAACTGTACTTGAAATATAAACCTATTTTGGCTGAAACAAAACTTTTCTCAATGCTTTTCTGGTAGAACTTTATTGAATGATGATTGATATAGGTTCCTCCTTTTCCATTTGGAGGCCCAGAAAGGCAAACAATACATTGTTCACATATATAATTAAGTGTTGTTTAGCTCCAGTATAATATCCTGCATCCACAATTCTATATTTACTTGGACATGAAATATGTTTTAGTACCATGTTTTTCAATGTAATTTTTGGGAATAGTTGTGTTATTTCAGTGAGCATGAGATGGTAGTTCTAAAACCTAGCTATAAATTGCTACTAAAGGAGGTCTGGCATAGAATTCATAATTTGATATTTCAAAAGAGCTATGGTATTAGCAGTGATGTTCCTTCAAATGATAAAAATTGCAACCCCTTCATGCCTCCATAGATACTTAAATATTCAAATGGATCTATGATCTCATTGATTTGGGAATTCCTTCCTATGGTGCAGATTGCAACCCACAGATGATTTTATGAATTGCTGTGGCCAAAAGCACCTCAATTGACTTAAAATAAACATACAAGGTTAGCAAAATTCAAGTCTCTTGGCAGGAACTCTAAATGCTCACTTCAGTCGGCCAACCTCATAACTTCTCTCTACTTCAGATAAAGTTGTTTGTTCCATTGTGATATCACTTGTCAAAACTTACCTTTGGTAGAGTTTTTAAGAAGCTAAAGGTTACTGCTGGGCCTCAGAAAAGCACCAGAGCTGACCTTCATTGAAAGTATAGACTTGATGTGGTCATGGAATGTTAGACCTAGAAGGCACCTTTGAGATCATCTCATGTAACTCTCTTGTCATACAAAGACCCAGAGAACTGAAACTAAGATCCAAACAATTGAAATTGTTTGCAGCATAAGTAATTGCTTATTCCATTCAGCTGAATCATTCTTGAATAAAACCATTTTAACTTGTTGAAAACAAGTGAATGGTTTTAGTTCAGTCATATGGTGACTACCTATTATTGCTGATGTATTCTGATTTTACATTATTTAAAGAAAACAAGATCTGGATGACATCATCAAAGTGGATGCTGGTAAAAACGACAAAGGGTAAGATCCTTGAAACCATTAGTTTTTTTTTTTATTTTCCCTCAGTGCTTAGTGAAAGCATGTTTAACGTATTACATTAGGAGTTTCTATTATGATCAAAATCTCAATGCCTCTCATTGTAAATTATTCTGATGGAAAGCATTTATCTCCCAATAAAAATGTCTCCTTAGTAGATGAAGTTGGCAGTTGACCTTAAATAGATGCTAATTATAATTGTTTTACTTTCTCTAAATAATCTTCTTTTGTTTCTTCAGACACTCCCATGGCTTCAACAATTTTATTTTAATTTTTTTGAAAGTCAACCCCACAGCTTCAAATCCAGACAGAAATTTCCATCTCTAGACTCGACTTCAGCATGTTGTCTCTGAACCTAGTTCCAAACAGTACAGAGATTATAAGAGATCCAAACAAGATTGGCCACTATCATAGAGCTGAAATAAAATAAATGAAATGACCAGCTGAGACACAATATATGAATGAGTTATTCATGAGACTTGGGTGACTACCAAAACCCACTTTTTGAATGTAAACTAAAGTATAAATAATTTTTAAAAGGTGCAAACTACTCAGTTATATTATATATTTCCCAGATAATTTTGTCTTAATAGAAGGGTGATAGGTGGTCTGCATGGAATCTACCAAAAGAAGAGCCAGAAGAAGAATTTCTTTGTCAATGTTTATTCCGGTTTCAGTCCACTATCCAAAGCTCTCATTGTCTCTTGACTGGCCTGCTGCAATCCATTCTACCTACCTACCAGATTCCTCTTCCTAAAGCAAAGTTTTAACCATGTCATTACTCTCCTTAGACTCCTTCCAAGGCTTCCATTGCCAATGAAAAAAGTTCAGACTTATTGGCCAGGTTTTCAAGACCTCTCATGAGATAGGGCACTGGACTTGGAATAAGGAATGTTTGGATTCAAATCCTGTCTTAGACACATATTAGCTGTGTGACCTGGGGCAAATCACCTAACTTCTCTGTTTGTTTCCTCATCTGTAAAGTGAGGGGAACTGCCTTTCTGGTCTCTAAGTCTATGATTCTATGATCTGACCCAAACTTACCATTTAGGAGATAAGTCCAGCCACTCTGCTACATGTTCTTTCTTCATTCTCTTTTATTTCTTTACTCAGAGTGCAATTATCATTATGCTTAACTAACCACTAAGGATTCCATCATGATCTGTGTTGTTGTTCAGTTGTTTCAGTTGTATCCGACTTTTTGTGACCCCATTTGGGTTTTTCTTAACCAAGATATGAGTGGTTTGCCATTTCCTTCTCTAGCTCCTTCTACAGATGAGGAAACTGAGGCAGTAGCGTTAAGTGACTTGGACAGAGTCACATAACTAATAAGTATCTGAGGCCAGATTTGAACTCAGGAAGATGAATCTTCTTGACTCTAGGCCTGGAACTTTATCCATCATGCTACCTAGTTGCTCAATTTCATTTTGACACGGAGAGAGAGAGATAAAGAGAGACACAGAGAGACAGACAGACAGACAGAGACAGAGAGATAGAGACAGAGACAGAAAGAAAGACAGAGAGAAACAGAGACAGAGACAGACAGAGACAGACAGAGACAGATAGACACAGACACACAGGGAAAGACATAGACAAAGTGATAGAGACAGAGATGGAGACAGAGAGACAGAGAGAGATCTTGGCAATCTTGTCAGAATATATAGCAGCATAATCATAAAGAACAAGGAGTAAGATTTACAGAGCTTCTGTGTTTCCTCTTTCCCCAGCTGACACAGAAAGATCCAACAATTTAGATGTTAGCTAGTAGAATTTAAAGTAAGGAAAAATAACAATGGAGTAGTGTGTCAGGGGAATGGATATCATTTGTCCTGAACAAGCATACAGTGGTAATCAAATTTATGACAGGGGCAGCAACTTTGGCTCTTCTTTTGTTTATTCTCAGTCATCAATCCCACCATTGAGCAAATAATACACTTTAAAGGATTCAATTCTGTGGCAGTTTCTAAATTACCATATTGTCAAAGGCATGAAAGGATCTTGCTTAGATTGTCATACTGTTGTACCAGGCACCTTTCTAGTGCAAGAACAATTGAGCAAACATAGAGGTGAAGGGACTCAAGGAGCCCCTGGATATTCCCCTATTCAAGGTCAACTCTGGGATGCAGCTATGATGAAACCCACTTCCTCCATTACATTTATATGCATCAAAATGGCAGTCATTTGGTCAAAAAGCAAGATTTATGATAAGTTCATGCTACTTTATAAATATACATTTTTGTTAAGTAAATGATCACCTGGGATTAGGATGGATAAGAAGAAAACAAGCTAAAAAATGTGGGAGACAACTTGGTGTTGATAGAGCTCTAGAAAATCAATTGTGAACCAAGGTTAGAGGATAGATGAGATGGGTGAGGAAAACAGATATGAAGAGCCATAGAGGATGGGTTGTTAATAAAATATGGGAGTAGGCAAAGAACACAGGTTTGTAGATTTTTAACCTAGGATGGACATCTAGTGAAAAGAAACTAGTTCAAAAGGTTCTGGGTTTGGGATCCTACACAGTACAGAGCTATCCATTCCTGGTATCAAGGAGAAAGTAGCTTCAGCCTTAATTCAAGATTTATCTCTGGAGAAACAATCAGAAAGGACTTCATTTTCTACAAGAGTTGGTTGCTCAGAAGCAGAGTTTAAAGGGCTTGAAGCAGACCAGTAGAAAAGGCTGAGAGTGCTGGTAAATGTTTAAGAACCTATTCCCCCCACCCCCACCCATTCCCCACCAAATGTTCCCACAACACACTTTTAAGTCTATATTATTAAAATTTTCTCCATCACTTTCGAAAGTTTGGATGATCAACAAAACAATAAATCAAGCTCTGATTTGTAGTATTTGCTGATTTCTGTGGTGTAAATGCTTGCATTGAAAATTTAACCATTAGTTTTTGCAAGCCAGCTCAAGTTGACTCCAGCACACCACTAGACAAAACCACAGAACCATCAACAAATGTCAAAAATACTGTTCCTCCTGAAAATAGATGTATTTTCTATTTAATCTGTCTGCCTTAATGTAGCTTGTAAAGAAGAAGTGTGACATAATGGATAGAGGGCTGGCCCAGGAGTCAGAATGACCTGGATTCAAGTCCTGTCTCTGAAATATATCAACTCTGTGATTCTGGACAAGTCACTTAAACTAAGTGCCCCAGGAAAATCTCTAAATCAAACAACCAGTCAACAAGCATTTATTAAGTGTACCAGGCACCTTGTTAAGACCGTAAATGGCAGAATATTTTCCAATCTGGGTTAGTAAGGAGTCCACTACATGGATGAGACATCAGATTTAGTAAAAAAAAATGCAATTTGTTCCAAGATTTCTTAATTTCTTATGTTTTAGTAAAGAAGTTTCTTTTGCTGTTAGTTGTAAATGTAATGATGACTTACTGAAGAGAAAGAGTATTTAACAGGAGTAAGGGGAAAAGCTTTGGGCTTGAATGTCCCTTAAATGGTGACAGCAGACAAGAGCAGTGATGAATATAAGAACCTACTGTTGGGTTTTGTTATATGGATGTAATGATCAGTGGCCATTCCCAATAGTTTAAATTATTTAAATCTCCCTTTCTTCTTTCCTTCTTCCCTCCTTCCTTCTTCTCTTCCTTCATTCTTTCCTCCCTTCCTTCCTCCCTCCCTTCATCTCTTCTCCCTCCCTTCATCTCTTCTCCCTCCGTCCCTCCCTTCCTTCCACTTTGGAAGGGAGGTTTAGGAAGGATAGAGTAGCAAAATAAGAAAAGGAAAGAAACGGGGGCAATTGAGACAATTTTATGTTTTTTAATGCAGAAAAAAGAAGGAAAAGTAGAAGAAAGTCCAGGCAAGCAGGGCAGTTTTGAAAGTTACATATTGAACTTATGTCCTTAAACAGAAAACTGAACTTGCATATGAGATCTGTAATTCCATGAACAGTTCTCCTTTTCCGTTCTGCTGTCAGTGGAAATGACTGTTCTGTTTAGTGTCTGTCAAGTGTCAAACAATTTATTGTCAGATAATAAAAATGTTTTTTTTTTAAAATTAATTTAAATTATTAGAGGTGCCTTTAAGATTAACTCGTTGTTTCCTCCCTGAAGTTAGCTTGGTTTCTGATTAGACTTAATCACCTTGAATTGAATCTGTTAATCTCAGTTGAGTTTTCTGGAACCAATGCTAATTCTAAAAGAGAAGACAGTAAGCCTCCTCAGGTCAGAATTTTCCAAACTACTTTCAGAGACTTCTTACAGTTAGTTCTCTAAAGTGTTCTGCATTAAGATGCTTTCCCATTTAAAGAAACTAAAATATCAATTTACTTTTCTCTCTACTTCAGTCTACCTTCATAGAAAATCCTTAGAGGTGATGAGTGAAGGTAAAAATAACTCTTCATTGTTGTTACCTTATTATGAGAACCTTTCATATCCATAGAAATAGATTTAGACAAGAGAGTGAATTGCCATTGTTTACTTATTATAATTATCTTTTCAAAGGGTCATCTGGAAAATCTAAAGCATTGTATTTTTTGTTGAAATTTTCCTTTTATAGATTATAAATTGATTGAATAGTTCCTACAAATTGAATTCACAATTAGTCCTAGTTTGTTGTTGGGAAGATTTTCACTGATGGTGGATTTCTTTTTTTTCCCAAGAAGTCAAGACTTGGATAATCTCATCAAAATGAACAAAAACATGAATAGGTAAGATTTAAAAGAGCTTATTTTTTTTAAAACAGAAACCTTTGTGACTTTTTATGTGAGATTTGTGTGTCAGTATAATGGGAAATGCACTGGATCTGAGAAAAGCTACCTACAAGTATTTTAATAGAAGCCATGTATGTGAAAATCTAAAAGAGCTATTGATTCTGAATATCAAAAGCATATGTAGCTTTAAAAAATCTAGGATTACTAAGGATAGATTTGTTTTGTTTTCTTATTGTGTTTGTTCATTTATTGTTATGCAGTTAAAGGTGAAGACTGAAAATATCTCTTCCCATTAACATATATGTCTGGCTCGGTTTGGTAAATGGGCACTGTTGCCACTGTAGATAAGACTCTAATAAAACATTAATTATTATTTCAATAAGTATAATCTGCCTATTTTGTTTTTTAAATTTTAATTGAAGTTTAGTTTAAGCCATTTCCTTTTTATACCATGGGAATTTCCCATCACATATGCTCCACCTATGGAATCTTCCCTTATAACAAAGTAGTAAAGTTAAGCAAAATTAATCAACAAAACAGCTGGGATAGCATATATAACATTCTATACCTATGGTCCCCCAACCAACTCTGACATTTATCACCTACATGACCTTGGACAAGTGATTTCACTCTTTGAGGACACCTTTTCTTCATCTCTAAGATAAGAAGTTGAGCCAGATGGTGTACAAGACCTTTCAGCTCTAAATCTACTTTTTGTGACCTAGTTATCTCTCTTCTAAGATAAGGGAAATATGTTTCCTCACCTATCCACCAGTACGAAGATTGGTTATTGCAATTAATCTGAGTTCAGCTGCCTCTTAGTCTTATTGTCATTTAGATTATTGCAACCATTTTGTGTATTATTTCCTGGTTCTGTATCTTTTACCCTAAATGTGTGACTTAAAAATCTGATAAGAGACAGTAGTGAATAATTTAACTTGTGTTCAATGTTAACTTACAAGTGTTTAGCATGAACATGCTAAAATAACTTTTAGCATATAGAATTAGAATGAATGAATGAGAAAAGTGCAAAGCAAACTTTAAAAATGTTAACCAAAACAAAGAGGCAGTTATAATAAAAGCAAAGCAGACAAATAAAGCACTGGGTTAGGGATGAGTAATTAATTAGTAGATTTGGATTCTAGTCCCTGTTCTGCTACTAATTAGCTGTGGGACCTGGAATAAGTGACAACCTTCCTAGGCTTCAGTCTGAAACTCAATACATTCAAGGATTGCTGTACCATGGTCTTTAGAAATTCCTAGTTGGGCCGTTTATTCCAAACTGTTTTTAATCTCCAATCTCTTGAATTTAATGTTATTGCCAAATTAAGTGAACTACCATTGACTATAGGTTGATGTGTGTGTGTGTGTGTGTGTTTGTGTGTTTATGTTTATGTTTAAAGGAACCAAGGCTTGGATGGCATTTTCAGAACAAATCCTAAGGCAGAACAAACTGATAAAAAGTAAGACTTAATTTATCTCTTAATTTGGATATGTTATTGTCCAGACAGGTTCTTTTAGTCCTGTAATCTTTAATTAAAGGGGAATTTTGTTTCCTGGCATAGAAATATTAAAAGAGGTGCTATAGATCTAAAAGAGTTATTCACTTATCTGAGGGGTGATTATGTTTCTTTAGAACTTTTTCTCCTCAGATCTCATATGACACTTTCTTTTTTTAACCCTCTTATGTGATAATGTATATTACAGCTATCTAAGTCAGTATTTTATCTCCTTAAAATACAAGCTCAATGCAAACTAGATATTAATTATATATAATGAACACTAATGAGTCAGTCCAGTGAACTAAATGTAGTTAGGACCTATTGGGTATTTTTCTGTTGGGGAACCCTCCCCTGACTTGGACCCGCCCCCCCCAATCCCGCCCCACACATACACAGCATTGTTGATCACTCTTTCATTCTACACCCTATTTAGTGAACTATTTTTCTTACATTGTGTATTTGGATCCCCACTTATAAATTTTTTTTGGTTGTTTACATTGCAACTGATATTTTAATCTCAAGTACTTAGTATAGTGCCTAGCACATTATGTGTGCTTAGCAAATGTTTATTGATTGATTGACTTTGTAATTGGTTCTATCATAACACATGAGTATTTTTTGTTTTCCCAACCATATCTCTAAGCTCCTTAAAGGGCAAAGAAAGAGGGACAATGGGAAGAGCACCACATTTGGGATCTGAGCACCTGTGTTCAAATCCCAGATTATTTATTTACCCATGTAACCCTTGGGCAAGTCACCAGTTCTCAGGTGCCTGAAGTTTCTTATCTGAACAATTAAGGAATTGGAGTATACAACCTCTGAGGTCTCTTCTAATTCTAAATCTATAGTTTAGCTCTGGGCAGGAACTTAGGAAAGCTAGGCTCTGTTCCTGGATCATATTTGTAACATATTTGTTACATATACATAACATATTTGTTATATGTAATATAGCATATTTGTAAGACCTGAGGCATGCCACTCAAACTTTTCAGGTCTCTGTTTTCTCATTTTTGAGTGTGGAAGTTGGAAGAGTTTTTGTTTTAATTTAGAGTCCCTTCCAACTCTAAAGTTGCATGTCTTCTATCATTTTATACACCCTGCCAGCCCCACCAGAGCCCTGGATAAAGTGATCAGTAAATGGTTATTGCATAATCTGACATAATTTATATCCTAGACTGTTATTTGATATAATGGACAGTGATTAATAACATAATTTTTATTATTTTTTTCATGTTTAAAGAAATCAGGAGCTTGATAATATCATTAAAGCCAACCCCAGAACTGACAAAAATGGCAAAGGGTAAGAATGGATGAATTTTCTATTAGTTTGGTGGTAGCATTTTTCATATTGACTGTTTACTTGTATTTTTACCAGTCACTAAACACAAGGCAATTTTATCATCATAATTGTTGCTGTCATAAAAATATTTTAAAAACTCTTCTTAAGTACCAACCTATGGATGTTGAATACTGTTTGCTTTCAAATTGACCTTGCAGACATAGTTTGTCTCCATCTCAAGGAATTAAAGCCCTTAATGAGGATGGAGATGATGTGAAAACAAGCAAAAACCCACACAAACATGAATAAGAGCATTTGTACAAATGTCAAAAGGATCTATCATAATTATGTTAAATTGAAATACAAACAGGGTTAAAGATTAACTGTGTCTAATGGAAAGAAATGGGTTGTTAAGGTAATTTTATTTTCAGATAGGGTAAGTTATCCTATCTTCTACTTATAGTTCAGCAAAGTTTATGGGAGGGGTCAGATTTCAAGAATTTGAATGACATAATATCAAGTCATTGAGAGAAGAAAAATATTGCAAGAATATTGTCAGAATAGAACAGGTACATAAAAAAGGAGATATATAAGTCTTGGGAGTAACAAAGTTGGTCTTATGGATAGATGAAGAAAGTGAGGTAGTCTAAAATGACTTGATATTTAGTGGGACTTGAAACAGGAATTCGTCACTTAGTTCAGTTCCCATGTGTCGATGAAAAATATTATAAAGTTAAAATAATAAAATGTGACATGGACAAAGTAACAAGTGAGAACCAACAGAAAATTGAATGCAATAGCTATTCATTAGTAAAGTTCCTCTTATGTAGTTAATGTCTGATAAATGTTTGTTGAGTGAATGAAATTACTTTTATTTTTTATATTTAAAGCAATGAAAATCTTGACAATATGATTAAAGTGAAGGCCAGGATTGATGAAAATGGCAAAGGGTAAGAATTAATCAATAATGGGATTTAGTGGGATTATCTTTCATATTGACTGTGTTTTTAAGCATTAGGCATATGAAGATTCTGTCATTTGGCATATAAATTTATATGTATATGCAATAGAGAAATATGAGGTTTTTTACTTATCAAAGTTCAGTCATGATGGACATAAAAATTTCAGTTTCTACTTAGCTATTCAATATTGCTACACTTGAAATATTCATAAGAAATATCTTTTTCTGAATTTTTGAAAAAATTCAGTTATAAAATCATAGATCTTTTCATATGTTATCACTGATTTGAATTATTTTCACGTTTAAATTTAGAAACCAAAACCTTGACAAACTCATCAATGTGACCCCTCATAAGGACAAAGATGACAAAGGGTAAGACTTGGTGGTGAATTCATTTCTAAATTGATTCATTTGAATTGCTGGATATTAGTTGCTGGAGGAGATTTTCAGCACAGTACTTTTAGACTGTTGCCAGTTCTATACAATGAACAGCAAAGATAATTCAATGAATTAAGTATTTCAAAGGACAATAGGACTTTCTGGTTTTGGAAGTACTCATAGGCATTATTCAATAACTCTGGCAACCAGAACAACACTGCAAAAGAGGTTTAGGGAAGCAATGGTGGGGGAGGGGTGGAAGGAATCAAGGAAAAATCATAAAGTTGGAGGAAGAAAGAGAATGCTGGACAGGAATATTGACTTAGGGGTCAGTGACTGGTCTACATGGAAACCTCTGCTAGATAGGCCCCTTTAGGGTACAGCCAAGCCAGAGATCACCTAGAGTATAGATACTGGGGAAAGTAAGCATATCATCTGGTACCTTCCTATTTATACTAATTAATTGTTTGGTACTAAATTCAGTGGTTTCTACCAGCTAAAGGGTTACAGGTACTGCCAACACCCTCTAAATTTTGACACCTCAAGCAAAGCCCCAATTACCTCTGACTTATTGTAGCTCTGGAAACATCTAATCACTTAATGGGTCAAGAGGATCTTCTGAATGCTACTGACAAAAGATAAATGATATAACAACACTAACTTGACTTATTTTTTTTTCTTGATATCTCTAAAGAAACCAAGGACTTGACAGCCTAATTAAAGTGAATCACACAGCAGATAGAAATGACAAAAAGTAAGACTCCTAATTTGTTGGGATTATTTCCTAGGTCAATTTCTTTACTTTTTTCACTTCATATCATAGATTTGTGTCTTGGTTTCCTCAAATGAAAAACTAGCTGCCTCATAGAATTGTTGTGGGAAAAGTGCTTATACCTGAAAGTACTGTATCTGTCAATAAATATTTATTAAACACCTACTACGTGCCTGGCATTGTGTTAAGCACTGGAGATACAAGAAGAAGCAAAAAAAAAAATCCTGCTGTCAAATAGCTCAAAATCTAATAGGATAAACAAGAAACAAATAAATATGTACAGATAAGCTATTTATTGGATAAATAGGAAATAATTAAGAGAAGGAAGGTACTAGAATTAAAAGGGCTTGGAAAAAGCTTCCTGTAGAAGATGGGATTTTAGTTGGGACTTGAAGGGAGCCAGGGAAGCCATTAGGCAGAGAAGGTAGAAATGGGCATGGGGGACAGCAGAAAAAAAAATGTCCAGAGCTGAGAGATGGAGTGTAATCTTCATGGAACAGCAAGGAGGCCACTGTCACTAGATCAAAGAATACATGGTGAGGAATAAAATATAAGAAGACTAGAGAAGTAGGAGGGGGCTTAGTACTTTATGTGAGTTATCATTTTTGTTGTTGTTGTTTCTCCTTCGTTCTGGAAGAGAACCATGACATGACAGGGAGAAGATGCCATGACATGCAAGTGAATTGGATTTAAGTGAGGGAGGGCTATGCAAAGTCACTAGCTTCACTTTCTCCTTCAGAGTCATCTGGGTCGAGTGGCAAGATATAGATAAGGATGACTGGATATGGCCCCAGATGCAGTGGAGACTTTGACGTTTTTAAGCTAAGGTCTTTTTCAAGTCTCAGTTTGTCTGAGGCAATGCCCATTCAGTGATTAAGGCAAGGTAAAAATGAGGCAAAGAATGGCCTCTTTTACCTAATCAAAAAAATAAAATCAGTCCCAGAGGGAAAGACTCTCAGGGTTTCTGGCCAAAACAGAAACAATTACTATTTACACTCACTCTGAGTCATCAGAATGCAAACAACAACGAAGTGAGGCTTGGGCTGGGAGCCATTGTTGGCCAATCAATGAGATCCAGAGTGATTTGGGTTTAAGGCAAGGTCCATAAAAAAGAAATTTAGTCCACAGACCCCAAGATATCTTGCTAGGTTTCAGCAATCAAAATTTATATTCCTTTGGGCAGAACACCCTCAGGTAAGGGTATGACTCCCTATGTGGACAGAGAGAGAGATGAGAAAAAGAAAGGAAGGGAGGAAAGGAGGGAAGGAGGGAGGGAGAGAGGAAAGGAAAGAAGGAAGAGAAAATGTAGTGGGGGGGGAATCAGCCTCAGAGCCAGGAAGACTTGGGTTCAAGTCCTGACAAATATTGAATGTGTGACCCTGGGGAAATCATTTGACCCTTAAGGACCCCAGGCAAATTTTAAGATTCTTTAAGCAATAAAGAAAGGTGCTGACTTACATTGGTAGAAGGACTTTACTAATCAAGAAATTCCCAGTAGTACTGTTTTTCTTAGCCATGATTACTCTTTCTTCTGATACACAAAACTAGATGGACATGCCAGGTACTGTACATATAATGTACATTAAATAAGACCATGTAACAACAATTGAGGCAGTTAGGTGGCACAGTGGATAGAGTGCCAGGCCTGGAGACAGGAAGACCTGAGTTCAAATCTGGTGTGACCCATAGCAAATAACTTAACCTTGTTTCCTCAATTTCCTCATCTGTAAAATGAGCTGGAGAAGGAAACGACAAACCACTCTAGTATATTTGCCGAGAAAACCCCAAATGGGGTTACAAGGAGATGAACATGACTAAAACAACTGAATAACAAATTACTATTATTATCACTTTTATTTAAAGATAGTATAGAAGATCTGGTTTTTGAACCTCTTTTTAATAGCTTATGCTTAATAAAGAATCTAAGCTTTAGTAGTTTCATTTAGAGTAAGGCTTAATGGAAATTTTTGTTTTTAAAATGAATATCACCGAGTGTTAGTTTCAGACTGAGATTTATACAGTGGAAGACTTTAACTCGACATCATTATCAACAAAGGTTGCAATAATCAAGTCAAAAGTCTTCACTGATCATTTTCATCCTAGGGGCATCTAGTACTACTTCAGGAGCTGGGTGGATATTTGAAGTTAACATTGATCTAAGAGGTTGTTGTATGTGACATTACTAACATGATTTTTAAAAAATATATATTTATTAAAGAAGCCAGGACTTTGACAGCATCATCAAAGTGAATGCCAAGACAGATAAAAATGGAAAAGGGTAAGAGCTGGTGAGATATACCTTAACCCAGGGCAATTTTCCCCATTTTTATATGTGATCTAAGTGATACTGTCAGAATTTATCTTTTAATAGACTTCAGATTTCCATGTTATATTCCTAACTATTTTTGATCCTGAATTTAATATCTACAGTAGTCTATGGTCAATTTATGGACACCAAGGTTTTTGTTACAGAATCATTAGCTCTCATAGATTCAACTATCATCTCTATGAAGATTTCTATATCCAGCCCTAAACTCTCTCCTGAGCCTTTCATCACAGCTGCCTTTTGGACATCTCTAACTTGATGTCCAAAGGCATCTCAAACTCAAAAAGTCAAATGTGGAACTCATTCTCTTTCCCCCACCATTCTCCCAATTACCCAGGCCTTCAATGAGATAATATTTGTAAAGTGCTTAGCAAAGTACCTGGCACTTATTACACTTGTAATTATTACTGTTGTTAGTATTATCTTCATCCTAGACTCCTCACTTGCACTTACTGTACATATACAGTCTGTTGCTAAGACTTTCTACCTCCACAACATCTCTTGTATATGTTTCCTCCTCTCCACTCATATAGCCACCATCCTAGTACAGGCCCTCACCATCTCTCACCTGGGCTATTGCAATAGCATTCTTATTTGTCTCCCTGATCAAGCCTCTCCCCCTCCCATTCATCTTTCATTCAGCTGCCAAAGTGATTTTTCTGAAGTCTAGGTCTGACCATGTTTCACACACACATACATACACACACACACACACACACACACACACACACACACTCTAAATTCCAGGGGCTCCCTTTTGTTTAAAATATAAAATCCTCTGTTTACTTTTTTTGGCTAGGCAATGGGGTTAAGTAACTTACCCAGGGTCACACAGCTAGTGAGTGTTATGTGTCTGAGGCCGGATTTGAACTCAGGTCCTCCTAATTCCAAGGCCGGTGCTCTATCCACTGTGCCACCTAGCTGCCCCCTTTGTTTACTTTTAAAGCCTTTCACAACTTGATCCTTCCTATCTTCTTTTTAAAGTTTTTTTTTTTCTATTTTATTTTTATTTTTAATTTGTGGAATAAAAAAAAAGCATTTCCATAAAATAGTATAATAAAAAAGATGATTACACATGAAACTGTAAATATATTATGCACAACTTGCTATTCTTTTTAAATATATAATAGTTATCATGTAAATTTCTTTTTTTTTCCTTTTTTCCTCCTTTTTTCCCTCTGCTTCCTGATGGCTAAGCAAACTTATTTAATTGGATCCACCCTTCAGGCTTTTTCTTTTTGTCAGCTTAGTGTAAGGAAAACTCTCTGAGTTCTAAAGAACGTGTGTGTGTGTGTGTGTGTGTGTGTGTGTGTGTGTGTGTGTATGGGGGGGTGGGGGGAATGTCCTATCACCTACTAGGTTTCCAGCCATGAGCTCATGGTCTTCTAGGCAAGCCTGTATCTAGAATGGGGCCTTCTCTTGCTTGTGTTTTCTTTTCTTTTCTTTTGATACATGGCCTTTTAATATTTTTTTAATTTTTAAAAACGTATTATGTTTTCAATTTATGGAATAAAATAAACACATCCATAACACAGTATGCTAAAAACAATATTAGTGCACATGAAACTGCAAATCTATTATGTACAACTTGCTATTCCATTTAAATATATAAGAAAATTATCATGTAAATTTCCTTTTTTTCTCCCGTCTCCACTACCCCTTCCAGCTAAGATAGATGTATAGATATACATACATACATACATACACACATCCATATACATATATGTGAAAAATTATTCCATACATACTTCTGTTTATCAGTACTTTCTCTGTATGCAGATAGCATCTTTCTTCATACTTCCTTTATTGTTAATTTGGGTATTTATGATAGTCAAAATGACTTATTCGCTGAAAATTGTTCTTAAAACAATATAGCTGTTACTGTTTATAATGTTCTCTTGGCCTTTTGAGATCTTAAAAGGTAGCCTCAATATTCCCCTTTCCTGGGCATTGGCCATAAGTAAATTAACTAGATATAGACATAAATACACACATATATGTGTGTGTGTGTGTGTGTGTATATATATATATATATATAACATAGATATGTCTACACCCATTTATATACATACAGTAAACATAAAATAATTTCTAGGGGTCACACCTAGGTGGGGGGCAGTGAGTCAGAAAAGATCTCATATAGGAAGTAGCACATATGAGGATCAGTTGAAGGTAATAGGAATGTGTAGCCTGGAGAAGAGAAGACTTCAGGAGGACATGACGGCTATATGCATGTATATGAAGAGCTATCACTTAAAAGAGGAATTTAGGCTTGTACTCCTTGGCCCCAGAAGACAAAACTAGGAACAAGGTGGGGGAAGTTACAAAAGAGGAAAATTTAGGTTCTTGCTAATGAAAAATTCCCTAACAATTGGGACCCTCTAAAGGGCCATAGACTGATCTAGGAGGTAATGGGTTCCCCCTGACTGCAGGTTTCACAACCAGGAAAGGCTGGTTGATCCCTTGTTGGGGATATCATGGATTCAGATCTGGTGGTTCTAGATAATTTATGAAGTACACTCTAATTTGGAGATTCTGTGATTCTGAGTCCCAGGATGATATTCCTTACGGCATCTAAAATAAAACAAAATATCAAACACCTGTTTAATACTGACTTGCTTAATTAAAATCATTTTTTTTTAAAGAGATCAAGCTCTGGAAACCCAAGTGAAACCCAATCAGAATGAAAATATCACTGGGTAAGACCTACTTACTCCTCGTCTCTATGGGATAGTCAAAGGAAAAATGAAATTGACTTTTTAGGAGCATTTCTAAACTTAAAAGTCTTGTTTGTACTCATGATTAATAATATTAGCTGACTATCTCTAACTGGAACCTACTTCTATCCAAGTGAGGTGGAGTAACTCTAGGAGTCATTGTTAGCAGTTAAGATAATATTTGCAAAGCACTTGGTAAACCTTAAAGTATATAAGTGTTATATAATGGCATATATAGGTGGCATATAATAACTGGCTTCTGTGAATAGTGTAGCTCAGATTAGGGGGCTGTTTTGGTCTTCTCTACAGGACTAGAAGCTAGACTTTTGATATTCTTTTAGGGATGAAAATGGCCACCATAGTTAGGGTAAAGCTTTCTTCTTTTTCTAGATAGCATAAATGTGGCTACTATATTGAAAAATCTATAATATCCACACTTTCTACTGCTTCCTCTATTCATGCCTAGATCACATTCCTTATGGAACTGAACAATACCTCTATGCATGAGGTTTCTGTGGCCCCCTGCTACATGAAATGAATTAATTCTTTTACCTTCAATGGCAAATGAAATCATTTATCATATGGGCTTACTGTGTGCCAAATACTGTATGATAAATGCTAGAAATAGAAACAAAACCTGAAAGAGTTCACATTCTGAGGGAAGCTTCTATCTATCTATCTGTCTATCTACTCACAGACAGATGTATATGTGTGTATACATGTATGTGTGTGTGTGTGTATATATATAGACATATATACACATATATGTATGTGTTTACATAGAGATAGATAGATAGACAGACAGATAGATGGCAGTGGTGGCCAGAGAAGGGTGTTTTGGTTTAGAAAGCCATAGGGATGGTAAGCGGAGCCAGAGGGGAGTTGTTGACACATCTTTTCCAGTAGAAATAGAAGATATGATTAGGGTCCTAAAGCTATGAGGGTAGGGTAAGGAAAGAGAAAGGAAGGTACATGTGGTAATAGGGCATATGGCAAGAAGATATCCTGTAGGTGGAATATGATGCATGGTTGGGGCTGGCTAGATATAAGAACTACATGAACTTACCAATCAAGATAGTGTAGGGCAGGGCAGGGCAGGGCAGGGCAGGAATTCCAGAGATGACAGAGTTAAGTCTCCCAAGGGAATTAACTTAGAGCATGGTCTTTGGAGGTCTTATGATCTGGGGAGTACAGCAGTAGTTAGGGCAGATGACAAGAAGGTAATAGGGTACAATGTAAATTCTCCTTTCTTTTCCTTTGTCATTATAATAAGGACCTTGGCCTACCCTGTGGTGAATGGAATTGAGTAAGAATGAGGAGCATAATAAAACCAATCATCTTAAAATAACATCCTTATTATTTAAAAATGGAATAGTTAATTATATCTACTTTGTTGAATAGTGATTTGCTGTATCTCCATACAGCAAAGAATGGTTATTTTTACAATGCCCATTTTGGGCTCAACAGAAGAGATATATCTTTGAATAAAGTTATTTTTGTTAAACAAGAAATTTTAAAATTGTTAAAATAAATCATTACATAATCAATTAATAGGTAATGGTCATTATTTGTCCTGAGGTTAAAAGGGGTATCATATCACTCATTTTTCTTAGGAGATAGTTTATTTTTTAAAAAAATCCAATTTTTGATGTTCTGGCATGATATTCCCTGACACTCAATATTTTGGAATTTATATACTGTTTTAGAGAAAGTATATATTTACTCTTTCTTAAATTAAGGCATTGTTCATATTTTAGAATAGTATTCCCGCTGACCATCACTAACCGGAATCTCTCTTTTTGTTTAAAGAAAACAAGATATTGATAGTGTCATCAAAGTGAACACTGAAAGAAACAAAAATACCCAGAGGTAGGACATGTGGAACTGTTTACTCTTTCTTGTGCCTATACAAATGCATTAGAATTTTATTGTTTAATCTGGGAAGGTTGAAGTAGAATCAGGGAAGCTCAGGCTCAAATTGAGCGCTTGTGTTTCAAAATGAAAATACCCTGGAAATCTAAATGTGATCGATAAATTCAAATAGCACGGTGCGTTTTGTGCTTTGGTATAGCTTACGGTTATCCGGTATGGTGTTTGAGAGACACAACTTAGTGCAGTGGAAAGAAGTCTGGCTTTGAAATCGGAAGACAGGAGGTTCGATTCTATTTAACACAAAGATTACCAAGTGTTTATAGGCAGCCAGGTGGTGCACTGGGTAGAGTGCCAGGCAACCCTGGGCAAATCACTTAACCCTGTGTGCCTCAGTTTCCTCATCTGTAAAATGAGCTGGAGAAGGAAATAGCAAACCACTCCAATATCTTTGCCAAGAAAACTCCAAATGGGGTCACCAAGAGTCTGACACAGCTGAAACTGAACCACAACAAAAATCAAATGTTTATTCAAGGCACTGTACTAAGAACTGGAAATACAAAAGACAAAACAAACACAAAAATGAGACAGTTCCTACTCTCAGGGACTTTATATTCTACTCAGCTATATGCTTTAGTGCTTTCCACCACTAAAAGGCTATAGGATCTTGGCCAATTTCCTAACTCTCTTTAAGTTTAGATTCAGTTCCCTAATCAATAAAATAATTGCCCTACCCACCCCACAGGGTTGCACAGAGGGGAAAACACAACACAACACAGTACAACAATATTGTAAACAGAAAAGTGCTATACAAAGATGAGCTGTTATTTTTCTTATTATTTTGAAAGGTTAAACAGGACTTTTGGTCTTAGGTTTTTTTTTAACCAAATGGAATGTTTTATATATTCATTATTCAAGGGCCTCTACCTTTTAAACCTCAATTTAATGCAAAGGTTTTCTTTCATGCTGGGGAGGGGAATCCAACTTATCGTCGGTCTTTACTCTGGAGACTGTCAGAATTGGAGCTGTGCATTGAGTATCAGCTCTGAAATTTTATTGTTACGTGATGCAGGGCAAATACTTAAACTCCCAGAGGCTTAGCTCCCTTATCTGTGAGCATAACGGATGGGCATGATGACAATGACAGTAAGAATAGCTCACATTTGTATAGTGTTTTAAAGTTTACCAAATGTGTTATATATACACTACCTCACTTGGACTTTGTAACATTTACAAAATTCTTGGGGTTGTTCCAAAGATCAAATGAAATTTATGTATTTGTGTATAAATGTGTGTATGTATGTATATGTGTGTGTATATATTTATAGGGACATGTGTACACATATCTATACATACATATACACAAATTTCATATATACATAAATTTCATACATACATACACATGCACACAAAAATTTCATTTGATCTTTTGGAACAACCCCAAGAATTTTACAAACATTACAAAGTGCAAATGAGGAAGCATATACATTCTGTAAACTTTCTGTAGACCTTAACACTCTATAAACTTTAAAACAATTCTGTCAACGCTCTGTAAACTTTAAAACAATATATGTATGGGGCAGCTAGGTGGCATGTGCTGGGCCTGGAGGCAGGAAGATTCATCTTCCTGTGTTCAAAACCGGCCTCAACCACTTACTAGCTGTGTGCGACCTTGAGCAAGCCACATAACCTGTTTGCTTGTTTCCTCATACGTGAAATGAGCTGGAGAAGGAAATGACAAACCACACCAGTATCTTTGCCAAGAAAATCCCAAATGAGGTCAGGAAGAGTTGGACACAACTGAACAACAACCACAACAAAAAGCAATGAAAGGCAGTATTTGGTTAGTATTTGGCAACCTTTGGAGCCTAGAAGACCTGGGTTCAAGTCCCATTTCCGACACACACTTTCTGATTAATGCTAAGCAAGTCACTTAACCTCTCTATGCTCTAGGCAGCTGTCTAAGACCGCATGCTGCCAAGCAGGTGCTGGCCTGTTTTGGGAGAGGAGGTTTCCTGCTCCAGAAGGTTCCTCTGTCAGTGAAGTTATAGCTCCAACCCTTTTTCCTATCTCTAGTAGTGTGACCACTGTCAAACTGAGATGTTTTCAGTGGGATATTATGTCCAGATCTACAGGTCTCTAGTCCTTCAATTATTCTGGTAAACAAAGGAAACACATTTGTTCTTCAGGTGATTTAGGTGGAGTCTATCTTTTCAATGATTCAAATATTGCTTAGCCCAGTAGTTTTATTTTGGCTTGATAAGTGAACCCCACATACCTTTTCTCCAATTTTTATTAAGGTTTTTTTTTTCAAAGTGCGAACTGTTACTCTTGTCTTCATTTGAAGGTATTTCTTTAGAGGTTTTGTTTTGGTTTGTTTTTGAATGAAAGATAGTTGTAGTTTATTTTGTCCATATATGTTTTTGCTTTGAACACAAATTATAGATTACATGGTCTGGAAAGTCCTTTTTAATTTAATTTTTTTAAAGAACAAAAATCTATTTTCATGTACTCCTACCTCTACCTCCCACCTCCCACCTCCTTTTCTCCCATATCCACTGGGAAGAAAGGAAAAAAAAAGAAGAAGAAGAACATTGTAACAAACATATATTGTCAAAACAAATTCCTGTGTTACATGTGTCCAAAAACTATATCTCCATCTGCACCCTGAGAATTAAACTTCAAATGTACCATGGGCAGCAGAGTTCTCTTCAAGTTTGCACACTATTCATTTATTGGTGCCATGAGGTATGTATTTGGCATTAACTTGCTCTGATCAGAACTTCATTTTTCACTTGAAGGGGTCAAGAGCTTGACAGTTACATCAAAGAGAATCCCTCAGCAAACAGAAATATTCCAGGGTAAGATTTATAGTTTCCTGCTTTATCCTTTTAAAATTCATGCTCGAAAAACAGAAACTGAATTCTGTGAAAGTAGTGACATTCAAATCCTATGGCTTCTGAAAAAAAATCAAACAAATGATATTCCATGCAGCACTCCAGCTTGGGAACATGCCTGGCAAAGCAGAACTAATTTAGCAAAAGATTGGGTGTTATATCTTTCCTGCCCCATTGGTTGTTCCCTTGTTTCTTTGAGAAGGTCCAAAAGTGTTGATTCTACTTTCAGGATATAGTTATATGATTTTAGACATCTGGATGAAAACATAATGTCATTCAAAAACCTGAAAGTTTCCAAATATCCGAGTGTTTGATGTTTGGTAGTTACAGCCTCAGATAGTCTTCAATCTGGTCTTCACAGGATCATAGTGTGCAGAGAAGAGGGTATAAAAGGCAGGCCCACATGTGGACTCATGTTCCACATCTGGGTGGCTCAGTACATCAGAGGAGGACTTGCTGATACAGCAGTATGTGGGAAACATATGTAGTTGTAATAAAAAACATAGAATTTCACTAAGATGGAAAGTGGGTGTGTACTGAAGGCTGAACAGTGAGACAATGATGGGTTTTTCCAGTGAAATGATTACATCATATTTAAAGGTATTATTTGTCACACTTCTAGAGTCATTACTGATTTTGATCCTTGTATTGTTTGTTGCTAACACAAGCAACCATTTGTAGCCTTAGCACAAAGTTATAAAACAACCAGAGGCAGAGGCTGAATAAATTAAAGAGGAGATTGGTTATATATTTATACAGTGAGCTCTGTGATTGATTAGCAACCTTTTCATGGAACACTGAGTGTTATAAAGTTTCTCTGAAGTTGCCTTAAAGACACTTGCTGTCTGTCCTTCCACATTGGATTTGGTACCAATGTGTTCCCTTGGCATAGGATAGACGGCAATGAATTTTGGTATTACAAAATAGATATTATGAGGAAAGCAGAGTTTCAATATGGTATCTCTGGTTGGGGTTGGAATTCTGAAATTGGATACTTCTCTGGCTGACTTTCAGGTAAATTGAGAACTCCTTCACACATGTGAATATGCATTGACAATATTTGGCCATCTGGGGGTTATTTCTATGAACATTATGTATACTATTTCTCAGTTTTAGAAAATGTTTTATTTTCTTGATATGAATTTGACCTGATCTTTTCTTCAATGTTTAAAGGGGCTCAAACCTGGACAATCTAATCAAAGTGAATCCTGCAACCCACAGTAGTATCCAGGGGTAAGATTTATGGAAATCTTTTCTTAAGATATGAAAAAGAATTTGGTCCATCTGCTAGTGAAAAATGACATTATGACTAAGTGTGCTTCAAGTTCAAATTTGACTTAACAAGGAGTACTTAGAGGGGTCAAGTGAGACTTTTTTGGCTGGCCACAACTATACAAATCAGTTGACTGATTTGTTTAATTTAAGCCTGAGTTTTAGGCTTAATTTAACTTTTGGAAATACATGGGAATTTAAACAGGTATATCAATTTTAATATTAGACAGTTTGCTTTAATTAGGTCTAGACTATCAAATATAATGCGGTATTACATTAGTAATAAATTTCCTTCAAGCTTACCCTTCATGTGAATTATTAATAATACCAATGTTAATGTTAAGCATTTATCATAATTTTATTTATCATGAACTTGTTTTTTAAATGTTTAAAGGTCCCAAGATCTTGATAATCTCATCAGAGTAAATCCAAGAACAGAAAAAGGTGACCAGGGGTAAGATTTAATGAGCTTCTCTAAATTTTATAAAAATTTGTGAAAATGTACAAAAATTAAATGACTTTATAATCTTGAGAAAATTCAAGCTTTCCAGTTAATTTATTACCAAAATATTGCTATTAGCCTTTGATTATATAGGTAGATGGTTGGTTTTTCAGGGTTTACATCAATTTTTTTTCATTTCTGGTTGTTTTTTTTCTTTTTTCTTTTTTTTTTAATAAGTAGAAGCAATGTGGTGTAGTAGAATGAATAATGAACTGGGACATAAGAGACCTGGGTTCTTGTCCCATATCTGCTGTTAATGAGCTGTATAACTTTGGACAAGCCCTTTACCCTTTCTTTTTTTTTCCCTTTATTTATTTATTTTTAATTAATTTACTTATTTTTTGTTTTCAAAATTCACTTCCACAGTATTTTAAGTTCCAAATTTTCTCCCCATCTCATCTCTCCCCCACCCCAAAATGGTATGCATTCTGAACACCCCTTTCCCTAATCTGCCCTCCCTTCTGTCTCTGCCTCCCCTTCTCTTATCCCCTTCCCCTTCAATTTTCTTATAGGGCAGGATAGATTTGTATACCCAATTGCCTATATATCTTATTTCCCAGTTGTATGTGAAAATAATTTTTTTAAACATTTGTTTTTAAAACTTTGGGTTCTAAATTTTCTCCCTTTCTCCCTCCCCACCTACCCTTATTGTGAAGACAAACAATTCGGTACCAACAAAACCATAAGCACTTCAAGTGACCATACAGGAATAAAATAAGCTGATGGAAAAATCCTAGAGTATCACATTATTTTTCCTCATTCTGGTTCTTCTATAACCGTCATCATTTCAGTACTACCTAGGACCATATTTCAATGGATCAGTGATCTCATCAATGTGGCTACTCCCTCTAGTGGTACAGCTTATAACCCATACATGTTTGCCCACCTTGTGCGGCTTTGTATGTATCTGCTTATAAATCCTTTGCAGTGGGATCTCCAAACTTCCTGGTACCCTTCCTCTAGTCCTTTTTACGTTATGTGGATACCAATGGAGCATATGGACTGTTCATTGGTTATTCTTACATTATTATCCTACCTCTGTTTCTAATCATCTATCTGTCTCATGGTATCCTTTATGCATTCCATCTACCCAGTTTTCTATTGATATCTTGCTGCAGCCGGCTTACCCTTATACCATGCACCTATCCATGGTCCTTTGAGTTCTTACCAGTTTTAATACTTTGGAGCTTGTGGCATTCTAAGACTTGCAGCCATCATTAGAAGAATATCATTAAATAGATGGGTCTTTGTTGCGGTGAGGCTTGGTCCAGAAGTACAAAGTAATTTCCCAAAGGAAGTCCAGACTGCTTCCGTTCTCCTATCCAACTCTAGACCCAGCTCCTTATCTGTCTGTACTATCTGTACAAAATACATGTACTAATGGATCATTACTATTAAAAAAAAAAATCAAGAGCCACCTTATGTTTTGGCAACCCAATATTAAGTTGCTAGGAGGGAATGGGAGAACAGTGTAGAATAAAAATTATCTCTTTAAGTGAAAGGAGGTGAATGTGATAGATGAGGTGTGAGTTTAAAGCAATGAATTAAGCTAATTTTGCTTGGGAGTTCAGTCTCATTACCTTATAATATTTATATATAAACATATGCATATACTGTACATATGTATCACTATATACATAATATACTACCACATTCATTTATACAGAATAATTATATATATATACATGTATGTATATATACATATGTGTATCTATATATACACACACATATATATAGGATATAGAATCATCACATATTCATTTTATTTCCACAGTCCCTAGATGGAGCAAAAAAAAAAAGTTATATATTATAACATCTTTTTATCCTTTGCTGATACATATTATAATTTCCTTTTTTCCCCTTACTCTTTGTGTAAGTTTGGTAGGAGAGCGTGTATAAGGAGAAATTTTGCTCAGCAAGTGAAAGTCAGACGTACTGAATCAAGAACTATTAAAATGCACTCATCCTATGTAACAAGAGTCAACAAAATCTTAATAGCTTTCTGTTTTTCCTTAGGACTAAAGAGTATCATTAAAAGCTAAAATGTCTAACAGTTCAAGCGGCATACAAGTTCTGTGTTCAACAGTTAAAATTTATTTTATACCCTTCTGTGTAATTGATCTGTTTTTTTTTTTAATATTTTAAGAAACCAAGACTTGGATAATCTCATCAAAGTGAACCAAACAGCAAACAAACCTACTCCAGGGTAAGACAAGCATAGGTTCCAGATCTGGTTTTCTCTAATGTATGCTCAAAAATCATCTGAATTGAGGACAGTGATTTATGCACATCAAATCCACTTAAACAGCAACATCATAGCTCGGCCATAACTAAAATGAGCACAGATGTAGTCATTCAGTGAACCCAAACAAACCAAAAGGAACTTTGGTCAGCAAACAGTTTGGAAAAGCTGATTAAGAAGTTGTTGGCTGATGACATTCTCATGCCTACTTAGTGTATTTGAACATGAGTCTATGTTTGCTTTCTCCTTCCTTAAATAATAAGGGAATAGAAGGTGGAGGTAGTTATATTAATTATTATCTTGAGAAAAATGTAGTAGAAAAACCACTCCAGAATAGCTCTCTCCTACTTGCCTCAAAAGATTCTCACCAGCATAAAGTAAGTAGATGTGAAAGCGTTTTAGTAAAGTGGAGAATATTATTTATTGCTGCTATTGTTTTCAATTCCCTTTTAAGGCTGGGAGCCTTGGAATCCAGGACATCCCTGAATTTATTCAGGTGTTCACTGCATTCTTGTCATTGATTCATTGATCTGATCATTTTCTTTTATGCTTTTAGGGGAGAAGGTCTTGATGAGTTCATCAGTGTGAACCCCAAAGCTGTCAGAAGTACCATAGGGTAAAAGACAGGCTTTCCTTTCCCTCCCTCCATTATCTCATGTCTAGATAACAAATAAAACTGAATCAGTTGGGAAAAGAACCCGATAATTGATTGGATGAACTGGGTATTTGCTCAGTAAATTTTTCCTATATCCATTCATTTATTAACCAAGCATTTATTCAAGTACCTAATATGTGTCAGGTACCATTCTAGGAGCTAGAGATTAAAAACATTGCCCTGAAGAAGTTTATATTCCATTGGCAAATGCAAAATAAGAACAAAGTGATTTCCAAGTGGGGAGGGCACTAGTAATGGGGGAGATTGGCTTAAGCCTTGTGGAAGTAGGCAGCTTTTGAACTGAGCACTGAAGGAATTATAGGAAGTCAGGTGACATTCTGGGAATAAGGCAAATGGAAATGGAATGCTGAGTATGAGGAAAGTAGTCCAGTTTGGCTGGAACATAATGTATATAAAGTGGAATAATGTGCAATTAATGTATAAAGGTGGAGCCAAATTATGAAGAGCTTTAAAGGCCAAGCAGAGATTATATTTTATCTTAGAGCTTATTGATGATGGGAGGGACATTGTCAGACTTATTCTTCCCCCACCCCCACCCCCCAGGCAATGGGGTTAAGTGACTTGCCCAGGGTCACACAGCTAGTAAGTGTCAATTGTGTGAGGCCAGATTTGAACTCAGGTCCTTTTGACTCCAGGGTCAGTGCTCTATCCACTGTGCCACCTAGCTGCCCAATGTCAGAATTATTCTTTTGGAATATTGCTTTGGAAACTATATAGAGGATGCATTGAACATAGGAGAGGCTTGGAGCAGGGCAGCCTTTCCCTGCCTTTCTTAGTTGGGAAAAGACTCAGGATTCTATTTTAGACGATAAAGGTCTGGACTAGGGTGACATGTATGTGAGTGGAGAGTAGAGGATGAATATGAGAGACGTTTGCAGGTAGAGTCAGTAAGATCATTCCTTGGGTTTTTTCATGACATTATTCTATCTTGGTATCCTCCTGTATCATTAAGTTCAGGTTCAGATATAGATATATAGATATATATGTATACATATAGATAGATAGATATAGTTGATGCTTAGATTATAGCCTCATCTCTTCTTTACTTGGTGAATCTTTACCCATCCTTTAAAGTTTAACTCAAGGACCACATCTTTCATGAAGTCTTCTATGATACCCCTGTTACCAATAGCCTACTGCCTCGGACCCCTCTTTATACTTCATTCACACTATTTTAGCGTAATTACAGGTAGTATAGCATAGTGTATTGAGAACCAGTCACAGAATCAGAAACACCGGAATTCATGTCCTCCCTGTGTGATTCCGAGCAAGTCCTTTAAACCTTTGGTGCCCCGGGCAGTCTTCTAAAACTAGGTTTCGAGGTGTCGATCTGCTTTGGTAGAGGGAGCTTCCTCGCCACGAATTCCCTGTTTCAATGAACTTACAGGTCTGATTTTTTAAAAACGCTTATATAATTGTATAGTTATCTGTGTTTGTGTCTTCTTTCCCTACTAGGCTAAAAACTCTATCTGGGTAGAGGCTGAGTAATCTAAAATTTGTGACTCCCCAAGCACCCAGTTGTTATTGCTGTTGAGTCATTTTCAGTTGTGTCAGACTCTTCCTGTCTCCATTTGTTTTGTTTTGTTTTTTGGCGAAGACGCTGGAGTGGTTTGCCTTTTCCTTCTCAGCTCATTTTACAGTTGAGGAACTGAGGTAAACAGGTTTAAGTGACTTGCCCAGGGTCACACAGCTAGAAAATGTCTGAGATTGGCTTTGAACTCAGGACAATGAGTCTTCCTGACTGAAGGCCAAGTAGTCTAACCACTGTACCAGCAGATCGCCTTTAAGCAGTTAATAGGTGTTTAACAAATGCTGGTTGAATTGAATTCTGTTGACCTTGGATTTCCTCAGCCTTAGACAATGCAGGTGAATCAGAAAGTGAGAGAGTTTATTTTTTTGGAGTAGATCTGTGATTCTCACTGGATGTATCTTAGAATCTTATGCAAAATAACTTTTATCCATGATCTCTATTTTGCAATTTTATTTGTATATCAATCTGTCGGTGAATAATTGTGACGCAGATACTGGGTTCCTGGCTCTGTGCTAGGAACATATCATTTGTTACATATTCTGCCTTTTATGTGTCATTACAGCCTCTGAGCACCAAACAAAGAAGCCAGTAGACATATTCATTCTTTGTAACAGCTGGTAATTGCCATATATTAAACCTAATTAAGTATTGAAAGTAGAAAGATATTCTGAGGAAATAGGCAGTCCATATCAATTTAGCAGCTTATACTTAAGAAAATACATAAAATACTTATTTCTTGAAGCACATTCATTCTGGTTTAGCTAATTGAGTTTAGAATGCACCCTTACTTGTCCTTTAAAAGAATACATGGAAGAAGCAAAGACTTTAACTAACACAATTAAGAGATCAATATAATAAATAAATATTACAAACTGCAAGATGTACTATAAATTTCTAATCTGTCTTTTAAATCTTATCCTTGAAGAAGTAGCATGGGCTGGAAGGTTGAGACCTAGGCCCTGTTAATGGAATTAACATCTTGTGGGGTTGATTGACTAATAACTATAGAGCATCTGTGTAAATATATGCAATGCATTTTAAAGATGTGAAGTCACAGAGAGTTAAATATCCCTAAATATTCCATTTGAGACTTGGCTACATTAATACAACAAATTTTAGTGGGAGGTACTATGCTTCCTGAGTTAGTAAGAAACATATTAAGCTTTCTGCAAGAAAGAATTCATTTCTAAGCTCACAGGAGTATTTGTGTTTAGCAGAATGCTATCCATCTAGGAGGTGCTCAATGAGTATCTGTAAGCCCAGGTGTGTCTTCTAGTTGATAGGCATACATTTAAGCCTCATCACTAGGCTCTCATTGTTCAGTTTACATACTGACTTGCATTTTGATTGGTGGTTGAGGAGCCTGGTATATTTTTAATGTATTTTTGGGAGTGAGGGATAGAATCAAGTCTCTTGTTCAATATAACAGTAGAGAAATGAAGGTTCCCTGTGTTCTTTTCAATTTCTTTCATCTGGCTAACTCCAAAGATAAAAACGTCCGCTGGTTTTCTGGGAAGTGTACGGCATGTGTAGTTACAGTGAAAAACACTGTACTGGATTTTGTTTATTAAAAAGAAATTATGTTTTGATGTTTAATCTTTTCTCTTGTAAGATAAGAAATTAGCATTGTTTATAATACCATTATCGTCCTGATATTGCTTCTTTTCAAGTTGAAAATAGGAGAGCTTTATAAGAAAAGTGTGTGTTAAATACAGTCAGATTAATCGGTTATGTGTGATCAGTGATGGTAGAATTTTATGATAATGGAAGCTTATTAGGTTTTTAATTTATCCTTTTCTTTCAAAGAAACTGTCACATACATTAATTCCTCACCTAATAGTATATTATTAAAAGATCTACAGTAGAGTCAGGAAGATCTGAGTTCAAATTTGATGGCAGATACTCACTAGCTGTAATCTTGCCCAAATCATTTAACCTTGTCGGCTTCACTTTCCTCAACTATAAAATGGGGATAATAATAGCATCTATCTCTGAAGGTTTTTGGGTTTAAATGAGATATTTGTAAGGTTTTAGCACAGTGCCTGGTCTATAGTAATTAATATCTGCTCCCTTCCCCTTCCGCTTTATGGAATACTTAGTTATTTATGCTGAATGACAGGATCATTAACCATTATCCTACAGATATGACCTAATGGAAAGAACATTGAACAGTAATAACAATAATGACAATAGCTAATATTTCTATAGTGTCTCCTATGTGCCAGGTGCTGTGCTAAGTGTTTTACAAATATTATCTCATTTGATCCTCACAACAACCTTACATATGAGGAAATTGAGGCAAACAGGTTAAGTGACTTGCCCAGGGTCACACAGCTACAAAGTATCTGAGGCCAGATTTGAATTTCGGTCTCCTGATCCACAGCCCAATCCTAGCTGCCTCATGAATGATAATGGACTTAATGACCATTTCCTCCAGGCTTAACTTTGTGCTAAGTGCTAGGGATACACAAACAGAACTGAAGATATTCCAGACCTCTCAAGGAGCATACATTCTAATAAGCAGAAGCCCCATAGAGAGCAGAATGGTGACAGTGGAGGGGCACAGTGTTTTGGTGTGAGTTGTTACCAAAAGTCTAGAGCTCTGCATTGGAATCCCAGATCCAGCACTTAAGTGGGACCTTGGGCAAACCACCAAATCTCTTTGAGCCTCAGTTTTCTTAAATATAAAAGAGAAGAAAATAATTTTCATACTACCTACTACCTGCTAAATTTCTTTCCATGGTTCTTTTAACCTCTCCCAAGTAAAGCATCAAGGAATGTTTGTAGGAATACTCAAGAAAACAGTCTCCTTCTTGGGCTGTAGACTTGGAATGTATCTTGAGGATTAGAATGGAGGACAAACAACAAACAAAATAATAAACATCTAAGTCAATTCCTTCAATTTACAGATAAAGAAAATGAAACCTGGAGAGTCCAAGCATCTTGTCCAAAGTCTATAAGTAGGGCAGCTAGGTGGTGCAGTGGATAGAGCTCTGGCCTTAGAGTCAGGAGGACCTGCATTCAAATCTGGCCTCAGACACTTGATACTTACTAGCTGTGTGACCCTGGGCAAGTCACTTAACCCCAATTGCCTCACTAAAAACAAAACAAAACAAAACAACAACAACAAAAAACAACAAAGTCTATAAGTAGCAAGTATAAATAGGTGGGCTGAGATTTGAACCTAGGTCCTCTAACTCCTTTTCCACCACATTGTGCTGTCTTTTACTGCCTTCTATCTTCTTAAGACCTCAGATCCACAGTCTATTCATATTCTGAACATGAATAGTTGAGTTGAATTTAGCTTATTTTTCATTCATGGAGGAAAATAAAATCATTATTTTGTTGGTATGTTATAAATTTACTTATTGAGAATAATCCCAGTCTTAGATCTAATTTTTACAGTTGATGCTTTTATTTACTGGGCATGGCAAATCAGAATAGGGATAATAGAGTCATGTCATGTCCACAGGGGGCCAAAATACCTGGATAAAGGGAAAAATAAATTAATCCTCTGACAAAATACGAGCTTCTTGAGGTCAAGGACTATTATTTTTCCTTGTATCCTTATTGCCAATACAGTGCTTGGCACATGGTAAGTACTTAATAAATGCTTGTTGATTATTGGATATCCACTTCACATTTACTAGACCATACTCGCACACACACATACACACACTCACACACACTCACACACACCCACAAACACACAACATATACACGCACATAACACACACAAACACACTACTTGACAAACATTTCACTCATAGCAGAGGGATAGTGGAGATAAAATATATAGAATCAGAATTGTTTTCCATTCAAACAAGATAATTTAATCCTTACTCTGAGTGTATAGGCAACTGTTTCCAAGACTTATATCAATTATTTTTAAGAAAATAAGTCTTTTAGCATAGTGATATCCGGATCCCTTTCCTTCCCCCTACAAATTCTTTGCATTAAATCTTTGCCTGTCACTAATTCAAACTGGTTTTTTTGTCCTCTTTAAAGAAACCAAGATCTTGACAATTTCATCAAAGTTAATCCTGAAACCCTCAAAAGCAATCAGAGGTAAGAGGAAGGAATATTCATCATTCTCATCTGTTTCCAACACATTTGACAGACTTTTAGAAAATTATTTGAACCATTCATAACGTTAGTGTACTTACTCCCCTCAACCGTATCATTAATCTGTACTGTTTTTATTTTTTATTATTTAAAGAAACCAAGATGATCTTGATAAATTCATCAAAGTGACTCCTGAATTTCTCAGAAATAATCAAAGGTAAAGGAATAAAAATATATTCTTTCAGCAGTATGGAAGGCAATGTGATTCTGTGAAAAGAACATTGTCTCTGAAAATAAGATGATCTGGATCAAGTCCCACATCAAATGTTTACTACTCTATAACTTTGGGCAAATCCCTTAACTTTGGTTTCCTCATCTTTGTGGTAAAATAAGGGAGTTAGGCTAAGTGGCCTCTAAAGTTACTTCCTGCTCTAAATCTATGATACTATAATTTTCCTGAGTTTCATAGGTAGATGCTTGAATGAAAAAGATTTATAATATGAATAATTTTTGAAATCTTATCATTGATCCAAGCCATTTTTTTTTCTCCTACTAAAGGAGCCAAGACCTGGATAGATTCATTAAAGTGAATCCAACAACTTTCAGAAACAGCAAGAGGTAAGAACATTTAATCTTGCTGCTCTCTCTGAACAATTTCCAAAGAACTGAGTAAGAATTTTTAAAGCTGCTGATGTATATATATATATATGTATTTTTTTGTCAAGCATTCTTTTATTGGTGAGTGTTTTATCTTGTTTGCTTTTCTTTAAATCAGGATATGGTTGTAAAACTAAACATTCCAAAGGCATACATATGGCTTTTTAAGATAGTAATGGGGCTCTCTGTTTAAAATTATGGGCCTACTGGTGCTGTTTTTTTGTTTTTTTTACTGGTCACGCATCATTTTCTCATTTGCTTATGTTTAATACTGTCTAGAGTTCCTGCCCTTGTCAACAAGACAACATACTGTCCCATTATGGGCTCAGCTTAGCTATTCTTCCTCCCGCTAGGGAACCATTTCCAAACTTGGACTATGTAGGAGGCAGTCATCAAGGCTGAAAAGCAAAATTAATTAAGACTCATCTGAAGAAAAGATTTTTGGAAGATGTTGTATCTAATCATGAGATAATTCAGAGCCCAGGGGTCCTACTGAAACAGACAATCTAAGCAAAAATTGTGTATTTCATACAGTCGTCTGCCCTTTGTTGCTTTTCTGTGGCATCCTTCACCCCAAAGTGCTTTATTAAGACAAGTAAAATGCATTAATATGAACTCCATAGCATTTCAAAATTGCTTTGTGGTAATGGGAAATGCTGTTGTAACAAATCCCTTGCTGGAAATTGCATTCCCAGGATCAAGGGATGACACAAAATTGGCTGATGAGCAGTGAATTAGCACTTAGTATCACATGCTCAAAAAGCTAGAGCTAGAGGACCTGGTTCAAGTGTCCCACATCAGATATTTACTACTTATATAACTTCCTGTTCTAGATCTATGATTCTGTAATTTTCCTGAGTTCATAGGCAGACACTTGAATGAAAAAGATTTATAATATGAATAATTTTTTAAGTCTTATCATTGATCCAAACCATTTTTATTTTCCCCTACTAAAGGGTTTCTGGTGCAACTCCCTCTTTTTATAGACAAGGAAACTGAGATTTAGAGGTTAAGTGACTTCCCCAAGGTGATGTAGGTAGGAAGGAACAGAACCAGGATTCGAATACAGATCATCTGACACCAAAGCCAGGTTTCGAACCTAGTTGGGGTTGGAAGGGGGAGTCATAGGTATGCTGCTTGATCATAGAACATCAGAGCTGGAAGAGATCTTAGAAAACAGCTAGTCCAACCTGCTTAAATTACAAATGAGAAATGTGAAGTCGCACAGGAACTATGCAGCTTGACAAGACTTCAGTACGGGTCTGGGAAAGACCTTAATTAAAAAGGTCAAGGTCATCCGCTGCATCCCAGACATTGACTTGTAACACTAGTTACATTGACTTTTGTCTTATGGACCTCTGAGGACTCTGGAGGAGGGAGTGAGGCTGTTGACTTTGTGCAGCTCTGCCTCACTTAAATCCAATTAAATCACAAGTCAAGACATCACCCTGTCCTCTTTGAGGTCCTCTTTGAGAATGAAGAACAAAGAACAACAGCAACAGGTCTTGGATTCTGTCTTCAAGTCCGGTACTCTTTTTATTGTGAGACCAGAGAGTATTAGAGTGGTCATCGATCAATCAATCAATCAGTCAGTCAGTCAACAGGTGTTTTTTTAAGTGCCCATTATGTGCCAAGCACAGTGTTAGCCACTGGGGATACAAAGAAAGAAATGAAACATCAATATTGAAGTTATCAAAGGTGGTGTCAGAATGTGAGATGGAATGGAAGAGCCTAACAAAAAAGTGAAAGAAAAGTGAAAAAGTTACCAGGGAAGGTGGACAAACGTTCTAGGGGCCTGCATAGGACAGCAGCAGTTAATCAGGAGAGGGTGTTATAATCAGGTGGCATAAACTGCAAAGGAGGAAAGATAGCTGAGTGACAGGACAGGATAAATTTCTACAAATGGCTAAGGATGTGTGAAGGAAGATGTGATCTGTATCCAGAGAAAGAAGTGATCAATAGAAATATGTATAGAATGATTTTATATTTATTTTACATATATATACACATATACATGTGTATATGTATATATATAATCACATACATACATACATATATGTATATGTGTATATATGTATGTATGTGTGTGTATATATATATATATAGTCTAATGGTAGCCATCTCTAGGGCAGGGGAAGGGGGAGGGAAGAAAAAAATCGAAAAAAATAAAATTGTCAATTAAAAGAAAGGAGAATGCCAGTTCTTTGCTCTATGTATTGGAGGGTATGGGAGGAATGGTCAGCATTGTAGAGGGTAGGGAAGGATGCCCAGTTAGTATGGAAAGTGGAAGATACAAAAGACGAATTTATTTATTTTTTTTTTGGTGTGGCAATCGGGGTAAGTGATTTGCCCAGAGTCACGCAGCTAGAAAGTGTTAAGTATCTGAGGTGGGATTTGAACTCAGGTCCTCCTGATTCCAGGGCTAGTTCTCTATTCCTGTGCCACTTATCTGCCTCTGGAAGATACAAAATTGAAGATTAGGAATGTGAGTAGGCAGGGGGTTTGGTCACCAAACATGGCTTCCAAAGGCAGAGTTGAAGGGTCTAATAGAAAAAGATGCTATAGATTGACTACTAGAAGTTGAGCTAAGTTGGATGTGGATGAAAGTAATAATTAACAATAATAACTAACATTTGTATAATACTTTAAGATTAGCAAAGCACTTTACAAACGTCTCATTTTATCCTCATAACAACTCTGGGAGGTAGGTGCTATTATTATCATCATTTATAGGTGTGGGAACTGAGGCAGACAGTGGTTAAGTGACTTGCCCAAAGTCACACAGTTAGTAAGTATCTGAGGCTGAATTCAAACTCAGGTCTTCTTGACTCCATATATAGCACTCTTTCCAGTATACCACCTAGCTACTTAAGAAAGATAACAGGAGAGACGAAAGTATTTTCACCTAGCCTGGTAGTTCTGGATGACAGGAAGAAGAACTGGGACAAATTTCCCAAAGATACTAAGTCTTGGAAAGATGGAGTTATTTATTGGAGAAGCTTGTAAAATAACCAGTCCAGAGTATCACATTAGAATGTTGTATTAATGAAGTACATTTAAAAACCATATTCCTCAGATATATTTCCTTCTGTTTGATGTGAGTCAAGCTCTCTCACTGAATATCTTTAGTAAAGAATAATGTATTATTTTTTCAATATGGGGTAGATTTCAGCAATGCATTATAAAATTTCTGTAACAAGAAGTTTTTTTTTCGTATGTACTATAAATGGCAGGTGTCACTCAGGGCAAAAATTGAATTATGTTCATTCAAAAGTTGATGATTTTGTTTCAGAATGGCCCAATTAAGTCTCATCTCTGAATACCTTCAATAGCGTTCCACATTCAGATAGAAACCAGTCAATTTCTTCAATGAACCATTGTGGAATAAATAGGAAAAAAACCCCATGAATTCTGGAGTGATCTATTTGGGAGAGAGATCTCTTAATTTCATTCTATCACTATTATTATTTAGTGCATCAGTCTTTCCCATTTGAAGTGGAAGTACAGAAAAGGACAATGTTGAAGGGTCATCATCAGCTTAGTGGCAGTACCATCCTCTTACAGTCCTATTTAACGTGGTGCATGGATTGATGACTTCATAGGAGAGATGCAGCAAAACTGAGTTCTCTTTAGGAGACTGGTGACATTTTCAGCTATAGTTCACTTAAGGACTGAATAAAATTCCAATTGTCACTCTGCCTGCAAACAGACACTTCTGCCCTCCTTCTAGGAACTCAGCAACCTGAACAAATGCATATTTATGGGGAAATTTCACTTATACAGTGAGAAAATGCTTCACTCTTAACAGGCATATTTTCAAATTTCCATGAACTAACACTAAAAGGAGAAAATCAATTACTGGTAGCTCATAAGCTATTGTTAGCCTGACTGTAGAAGTTATTTTTGAATGAAGACTTAAATTCATCTGTTGACATTTTTACCCTTAGAATTACAAAAGATAACATTTGTCAAAGATAGCAAATGATGTCCTTACTCACTTGTATCATCATGCTTGTGTAATGAAAGACTTTACCTCAGTCCCCAACTACTTTAATCATTAAAATAATGTTAAATGGATGGTATAATCATAGGAGTATTGATTTAGAGCCAAAAGGAACAGTGGGGCCATCCAGTTATCCCTCTTTGTTTTCTAAATGAGGAAACTGAGGTCCAGGGAGGTTATATGATAAGTGAGGCTAATGACTTTGTACAGCTTTGCCTCATTTAAATCCGATTCATGCACAAGTCAAGACATTACCTTCATTATTTCATTGATCCTTCTTGAGGACGAATGACCACTACCAGCAACAATAACATGGGAGAGCTAGGATTTGGACATACTAAATGCCCTCTGATCTATTAGCAGAGACACCATCCTTATCTAGGCCCCCATTGCCTCTTCTATCAATGAAATGTCCTCCCACCCTTCTGAAACCCCTCCCCCAACACAAACCCATAAAAGAAACAAATTCCTTCTACACCCACTGACACCCTAACATAGGGATCTGGACTGGACCTTTGATTTCATTGATGCAAGGAACTTCCAAATGAAGGAACATCCTTTACCAAAGCACACTGCACCTTTTCTGAAACTTATAGTCATAGAGAATTGCCTAAAGCACTTAAAATTCAATTACTTGCCCAGGGTCACGTAGCTGGAATGTGTTAAAGGTGGGACTGTGAACCCAGGTTTTCCTGGTTTGAAGGCCAGCTTTCCACTGTGCCATACTGAGAAGTAGAATTCTGTGAAAGCAAAAGCAAAAACTTCATATGAATGTGTGGGTTCATATATTTAGATGTAGAAGGGGTCTTAGAAGCCATCTAGTCCAACCCCATCATTTTATCCATAAGAGGACTGAGATTCAGAAAATTCAAAATGACTTGCCCAAGTTTACACAGGGAACAAGTGAAGAACCGGGGTTTCAACCCAGGTCCTCTGACTGTATATCTGGCCCTCTTTCTACCATACCATGCTACTTCCAAACGTCATCAACTCCTACCCTCTCATTTTACAAATGAGGAAACTGAGGCCCAATGGACCAAAATGAATTGCTTAAGGTCATATAGATATTGGGGGAAGAGAAAGTTTGAACCAAGTCTTCTGGTATGTAGAGTACGTAAAACTGAAATAAGTATAATAAGAAACTTTGGATTTGGTTTTCTGTGACAATTCTTCATGGTTCTGCAAGTAGCAGCAAAAATGAAAACCTGCTGCACCTGAGTGAGATTTCATAAACCATGAGGACTCAAGCTCGGTGAAGTTGGCGTATTGTATCTTCTGCCCACTGTACTTGCATAGGCCTATATCAATATGGAACACTAATTTCCTTAATGTCAAAGCCTTAATTCTCTCATGTTTAAAAAAATTCCTTAAAAAATAAACATAAATGTTCCCCCTTTCTCACAACATAGTTGAAAGGATTATATAAATGATCTCACTGTAGTTTCTCTACCCCTTTCAGAGTGACAAAGACTGCTATTCAATCAAAAGCTTCATGCCCAAGATTTAATTTTTGGCATAAATTGAGGACGCATTGTAAATCTTTTGTACTGTCACTCTGTAATTTGGTAAATGTATTCCATGCTGAACAATGAGCAGTTAAAGTAAGTTATGTTGAGGCAAATATATTGCTGCTTTATAAAATGTATTCCTTCCCACACATGAAAACAAAGATAGAATATATGGGATGCCATGTGGTGCAATCGATTTCTTAGCTCTGGACCAAAGGATTGGAGTTTGAATAGAGACTGTCCTCTCTTTCTACCCATATGACCTCAGAAAAAAAGTCAATTAATTTCTCTGGGCCTCAATTTCCTTTTCTATAAAAATGAGGCAAGTTCTCAATACATTGTGCTATGGTTTTTCTCTCTCCCTTTTCTTTCTCCCTCCCTCTCTCTTCTTCCCTTGGGACTCCATATCTCAACCAGGTGGATGTATAGCAGGCTCTCATAGAGTGCAATCCCATTTCTGAGTGGCTCCAGAGTTTAACTTGCTTTGCTTTTCCTACCCGGTCCATTAAATCCAGTGCTGGATTTAAGGCAGCTACCTGACTGGCTTAGCCTACTGCCATTCAGAACTCCAGAGCTAAAGCACCCTAGTAATAGGGAGTATAGGTTTGTACCACCACACCCAGTTCTTTTCTCTGTTTTTGAAAGCTGCTTTTAAAATTCCATTTTCTAGCTGAAATATGTAGTGCTCATTTTTTCCAAAGTGTTTCTCATGATCTACAGAGGCCAAGGATGTGGCCATATCACTGAAATAAATTCCAAATGTTTACAAGAGTAAGAAACAGTCAGGTCTACTGTAATCATTCTTCTGTTAAACAGTTTTACACACATGCTCTTGTTTGCTAGGCAACATTTGGATGGGCTTTTCTAAAAATCTATTTTGGGCGCTTTAAATCACAGCTCTTCCCATATTATACCTTGGTGCAAAAGACATGATATAAATTATGTAGACTTAATTAGACAAGGAAAATTTATTTTTATACCCCAAGTAACTTGGAAAGTTTATGAGCAGTCTGGGCTGCTTGGATTGGATTGTCAAAGCTAGTTGTTGACATCAATCAGGCTGAAAAACAATAACGTCCTTGATTTGTTTTCTTCACTCATCACGTCTTTTCTTCCTTGCTCTTGTAGCCATATAGTTTTGTTATATATATAGTCTCTATATATAGAATATATATATTCATATAGTTTTGTTTCTTTTCAATTCTGGTCATATAGTCCATTCTACTTGTTTAATGTGCTTCATGTTTGGGTAAAGCAAATAAAGTTCTATGAGACCACTGGTAAAAGGGCCTATGGAATCCTTTTATAGTTCCTGGTGCTGTTTTTTGTGATAGTCTATTAGGAATAAAAGGTATAATCTCATTTTTGTATAGCTCCCTCTTGATTACTAAGGGATGGGTTGTCTCCATGTAGCTGGTAGGTTTCTCTTCCCTCTCACTCTGGTCCCTTTTGAAAATTTATTTCACTCTCTGTCAACATCTCTACTGGAGAGCAAGAAGGGAAAGAGAAAAGAAAGGAAGGCTCTAATGTTTCACTGGAGAAATGTATGGCACGAAACTGTTCAGACATTTTCCAAACTATTTAGAGGAACCTGAAGAGTGTCATTGTTGCATTGATTGTTTTTTTTTCCTCTGGCACACTGCTCTAAAGATCCCTTGTAATGGTTTCTGTATATTCAAATGTATACAACTCAGCTAGAAAAAGCACTGGATTTGGAGTCAAGAAAACTGGATTTTTGTAATAGCTTTGACACTTATAAGGGGTGCGATTTTGGGCAAATCACCTCAACTCTCTGAACTTCAGTTTCCTCATCTGTAAGATGAGGTAATATATGAACTGCCTATGCCAATGGGTTGTTGTAAGCAAAACACTATAAAACTCCCAAAGTCATAGAAATGTGAATGGTTATTATAACTCTTAAGAATGGGAGCTTAATTTGAATTTTGGAGGTTTAGAATTAATATGACCAGATTTTTCCCTGACAAAAATTGAGATACTAATTTTTCATTGCTTTTGTGTGTGTGCATGTACATTTTAACTTCTATAAGCATAAGCAAGAAAATTTCATTAAATCTCTCAAATGTGTTTAATGAAATAGATATACATAATTAATTAATGCAACCCATATACCAGGCATATCTAAACACAGGATTCAAGCCTAGATCCATTAGAAGAAAGATAACAGCCTTGGAAGAAATGGAATTTCTTTTTTTTCTCCCTTTGCTAGGCAATTGGGGGTAAGCGACTAACTCAGGGTCATACAGCTAATATGTTTTGTGTGTTGTGAGTCTGAGACTGGATTTGACTTCAAGGATGGAGCTCTATCCACTGTACCACCTACCTGCCCCCAGAAATGGAATTTCTAAAAACTAAAGATAATTCCAGAGATATTTGAGAATTCAGAAACAACAATAGAGACTGGTCCTCTTGCAAATGATGATGTATTGTAACCCTAGAGCCTTGGATTCCTAGGAGACATAAATTACTATTAATGATAGCTAAAATATATATATCACTTTAAGATCTGCAATGTATTTTGCATATATTATTTAACTACAGATATATGGATGCTTACTAATGCATCAGTTTATTTTGGTGCCTCATAGACTTTGTTTTTGCCTGTCAAGATTGGTGCTAATAGTTGTCTATCAATAGAGTGATCCAATATTTGATGTAGCACAGTGGTTCAGTTTCTGCATTTATTCTCCATCAGACTTTAATTCAAATCTTAAATGGACTCTTTATGTTTCAGGTAATGTAAATTCTGATGGAAACTTCTGATTTGATCCTTGAATATTGCTTTACCTCGCTATTTCCTTTATACCCAGTTCTTCCTGATTAAATTGAAGTCTCTCCCTCTTCCCCCAAACCATCATTATCCTCATATCTGAAAATCTGACTTTTAAAGCCACATGTATGTTATTTATTTTGCTTCAAACTCTTATCTTTTGCCTCATAGAAACTACCAAATGTACTCTACCTCCTCCCCAACCCTGCATTAAAACTTCCCTTGAAACAAAGAAAAACAGTTAAGCAAAACCAACTAATTTCATGACAATTTCTGGCATTTTACCGAACACTATCCACATGGTCTCTCTTCTCCATGTGGTGAAGACGGATGTATGTTGCATTATTGGTTCTTCAGTCATTACAATTACTCAGTGTCTGACTTTCCTTTAATATTCTTTTCATTTACATTTTTGGTTTTGTTCTGTTTTTAATTTGGGAAATGAAAGAAGCATTTCCATAACATACTATGCACAACTTGCTATTCCTTTCAAATGTACAACAAAATTATCATATAAATTTCTTTTTTTTCTTTCCCCCTATCCTAGAGATGGCTACCATTAGACACAAATAGGCGTATATATGTGTGTATATATATGTGTATATATACATGTGTGTGTATATATATATGTGTGTGTGTGTATATATATATATATTATATATGTAAAATTCTACGCATACTTGCATTTATCAGTTATTTCTCTGGATGCAGATAGCATCTTTCTTTGTATGTTTTTTATAGTTAATTTGAGTATTTATAATAGGCAAAATAGCTTCTTTGCTCAAAGTTGTTCTTAAAACAATATTTCTATTACTGTATACAGTGTTCTTTTTGCACTGCTAAGTTCACTCTGAATTGATTCATGCAAGTGTTCCCACGGTTCTCTGAATTTCTCATGTGCATAATTTGTTTCAATGCAATAATGGTCCATTACATCATATGTGGAAAGTTCATTGTTGTGTAGTGGATAAAGAGTTGGCTACAAGTCCCACATCTGACACATTCTGGCAACGAAACCCTGGGCACATCGATTGTCCTCTAAATACTTTAGATAACTTTCTGAGGCTATAAGATGTAGAGAAGATGGTGACGTGTATTGACAGGAGAAGTTATCTCACCCAGGAATTCCCTATACCAATGAAAACAGAGTACAAGTACTATCTCTATCCCTACATTCATAAAGAGTTTGTCCAGTTACTCTTGCACTAAGGTGGAGGAAGGGATGGGGAGGAAAGGGTTAAAGAGGGTTAAAGGGAAGACATATGTGTTTATGTGAAACAATCATTTAAAGCTAATTCCAAGATTACATACAGTTTTATAAAGTTTTTTTTTTCTTCAGACCAGAGTAACAGATAGTGCCAGTTACTCCCTGTGTGACCTTTGGTTCAAAAGACCATTTTCTTGTAATTTAAAGGTGAATCTAATGTAGTATGAACTTTTTTATTCCCACAGAGATCAGGACCTTGACAATCACATTGAAGTAAATTCTAATGGATATAACAAAAAGACTCAAGGGTAAGGCCAAGTATAATTTCCCCCATTCTTGACAAATTCCATGTATGAGCACATTAAATCAAGTTTATTTTGCTTACCTTTTTATAAGAATTTCAGGAGAAATGAATTGGTATCATAGATTTAATGTTGGAAGGGATTTTATTTTATTTTATTTTAATATTAAGAAAACTGAATCTCAGAGAGATTTTTTGCCCAATATAATACAGTTCTGACATATAATTGTCAGCACTAAAATTTTAAATTTCAAATTCAGTACTCTTTCAACTGTGCTGGGCTACAGCCAAGGTGAAAATGAGTTAGAATTAGGTGTTTATGAAGTGACAATTCAAATTAGGTCTTGAAGGAATGAAAAAAAAAAGCATTATTAAGAGCTTAGTATGTGCCAAGCATTGTGCTAAGTGCTAGGGATACAAGCAGAAGAAGCTCAGTTAATTCCTGTTCTCAAGGAGCTCACACTCGATTGGAGGAGACAGAACATAAATAATTCATAGAAGTTTTTGGGGATTGGGGGGTTGGGTGGGGAAGGGATCTTTAATGGTTGATATATAATCCTATGGAAATAGCTCAAAAGAAAATTCCAATTTTGACTGAATTTGTGACTCAGGACCCTTCTGCTTACTGTAAAAGGCATCATGCAAATTGAGTGTATTTGGGTTACTAAACTCTTAGGCTGTGAAGGTTTATTTTTACATACTGCAGCTTGATGGTTTTGTCGCAGTGGCAGAAAGTACTATAGGATCCACCTCTTGGATTCCTCACCCTAGTAAATGGCATGAATCCCTAACAGCAACAAAACAAGACACAGTTTCATATATTCTTTATACCTCTGCATAATTCCTGCACCTTGTTTGCCTCCACATGAAGGACTGATGTAGATTGTATAGTTGGTGGGTTCAACAGACAGTTTAACTTAGGGAGGAATTAATTACTTGTCAGTGCCATAGCAACTGTGAGTGTCACCTGGTACCAAAAAATAAAATAAAATAAAATAAGACAACCCAAAAAACCAACAGCCTTCTACCCATCCCCCTACCCAATCTTCTTCCTAGTCCATGAAATTATGTTTAGGCAAAGGATTTATACAGTACGGAATACATATATATAATAAAAGAATGAGGAAAAGAATAGAAACCTCAGTCTTATAATGTTTACAACATCTTCCTAGGCCCAATAGCCTTTACTATCACCATAGTGCAGTGGGAAAACACACTGAACTTGGGGTCATAGGACCTGAATTCAAATACTGACCTTGGGCAAGTCATATAACCATTCTAGATCTCAGTTTCTTCATTTGTAAAATGAGAGAATTGAAGTTGATGACCTCTAAGGTATCTTCCAGTTCCAGATTTATGATCCTACATTCCTTTCTTTTCTAATTTCAATTCCCTTCCTCCTTTTTCCCCAGACCCTCAGGAAAAACATTCAGTTAGTGGTATCTTTTTTTTTTCATGGCCAGGAGGGGAAAAACACGTCTTTAGGAGTGCTTCCTCAATAAGCTCTGTCTTGGGGACTCAGTAGAGGGAGTGATAATAGGGGCAGCTTTACGTATAGGTAGAACATGTTTGCTTATATATTGCAATTTTTAATGGGTTCTAGGAAGACCCTTGTAGCTCCCAGCTTCCCTGTTAGCTTGTTAGTGTGCCTGCAATTCCATTTTTGGTGATTATTTCCTTTGGATGAAGCTTTGGGGTCTGAAAATTCACATGTTAAAGTGCAAATACTTAAGGAAGGAGAGCACAAGAAGCCTTATCAACTATTAACACCCAATCTGAGGATTATTTTTTTCATATCAATTTTTAATCAAAGCTAAACAGTAAAGTATTTTGGATATGAGACATTAACTTTAGGGGGATACTGGGGCCCCAGGGTAGAAAGAGAAATCCAAGACATAGAACCCAGTCTAGAAAAAACAGGTTAAAGTGAGGTATAGTCTTGAGTTAGCCTTGCATCACAGGTTTACTCATTTCACCTCTCCTTTTTCTCCCCATCTTAGTTTCTATTCCTGTGAAAAAGAATAATACCTATAGCTTATATATACAGTGTTCCTTAAAGTGTACAAAATATTTTACATATATAAATTCATTTGATCTAAATAAACATAAATAGTAGAAGCATTATTCTTCACATCTTATAAATGAGGAAGCATGTTCAGAAACAGTAAGAGGTTTGTCCAAAGTCACACAGTAAGTCATAAAAAGTGACAGGGCCAGAACATGAAACATCTTTTGACTCCAAATCCAAAGGTTCTACCTACTATACCATCCAGTGCTTTCAATCAAAGAAATGAAAGGTAGAAAATGGTTGAAATGAATGAGATCACTTATGTATGCATGTTTCTCATTTAGTAATTTCTCATTCTTCCAGAGACCTTGACAATCTCATAGATGTAAACCCCAACACGCACAATAATGCAAAGTGGTGAGTTTTAAGGCAATTTTTGATTCCTCGTGCAAAAGAGAAAATTAAAGATATGGATGCTTATCTATTGAACTTGTACTAGAGATTTCCTTTCAGTAAATAGGTGATCAGGAAATAAGCTAAGAGAATACGTCTGCTGTACTTCAGGAAAGCTATATGTATGTTGGTATATATGGATACTAGCTCCATCAATACAGATCACAATCTTTCCGTGCCTTAGTAGATGGTCCTCATGAGTCACTCTTGGAAAAAATTATCACTTTGTGGCCAGTCAACAAGTAACTAGACTGGTCCTTGGATCATTGCAATGGCCATATCTGAAGCCCTTCTAGCTTATAGGATATGCCAGACTTTGTACTCTGTTGGCACAATCTTTGACACACTTATTGCTATGCCATTGTGAGTCATTGGAGTAGATGAAATAATAATAATTGTTGTTCAGTCATTTCAGTTTCAGTTTCAGTCATGTCTGACTCTTTGTGACCCCATTTTGGATTTTCTTGGCAAAGATACTGGAGTGGTTTGTCATTTCCTTCTCCTGCTCATTTTAGAGATGAGAAAACTGAGGCAAACCGGGTTAAGTGACTTGCCCAAGGTCACACAGCTACTAAGTGAGGACAGATTTGAATTTAGGAAGATGAGTCTTCCAGGCACAGCATTCTATTCAGTGTGCTACCTAGCTGCCCATAATAATAATAATAGTAATAATAATAACATTTATTCTACTCTAAGGGTATGAACCCTTAACCCTCTGAGGTTGATAATTAATGCATCATTATCCCCATTTTAAGGATAAAGAAACTGAGGCTCAACTGATTAAGTGACTTCCCTACAGTCACCTAGCTACTTAATAGCAGAGGCTGATCCAAAGCCCAAGTCTTCTGGCTCTTCTACACCGAAATAAATCAAGTAACTGCCTTGGACTAGGCTATTAAACTGAAATATTAATCTATGCTATAATACAGGAGACAGAGGATTGTATTGGAAAGTGAATTCCAAATTCAAGTCAGTCCCTGATGCTTACTCACTATGGCACTGTGAGCAAATCATTCAGCCTCCCTGAGTCCAGTTTTCCTCACCTCTAAAACAGAGACAATAACATGTGCTCTACATGTTGCATTTTGTATGCATGTGTATGTGTGATTCCTGCAGGGGTAGCTTTTTGTAACCTGGAGAAGTGCAATAACACATGAAATGTTCTTAGATCGCAAATAATTATGTAATCGGTCAGCAAGTTGGCTAATATATATTAAATGTCTTCTATGTTCAAGGCACTATGCTAAAGGCTGGGGATAAAAGAAAGTGAAAAAAAAACAATCTCTGCTTTTAAGGCATCTAATGGGGGATACTATATGCAAATTCTGCACAACTATGTGCAAACAAGATATTAACAATTTAACTTGGTGGTAGAAGGATGGGGAATGGCTGTCTCAGAGAGAAGGCAATAATATTAAGAGGACTGGGAAAGGCTTCTGGCAGAAGGTGAGACTTTAGCAGAGACAAGAAGGAAGCCAGAGAACCTCAGAGGCAGAAATGAGGAAGGAAAGCATTCCAAGCATAGAGGACAACAAAGGAAAACTTTCAGAGTTGGAAGACGGAGTATCATGTTTGAGGAACAACAAGGAGACAAGTGTCTCTGGATCACAGAGTAAGGGAAGTTAGTGTGAGAAGACTGGAAAGACAGGAAGGGACCTAGTTAGAAAGTATGTAGGACTGCTTATGTTTTCAAATTTGATGCATTAGGAATTACTTTTAAATCTATTTTTACAAATAAAGAACCTCTTCCAAAGTTATATGATCACTGACCTATTTTGAATGATTAGAGAGAAAATATTCCATAGAGACATTATCAGCTTTAAAGGCTAAGGAAAGTAGTTCAGCCATATAAGGATTTCATTGCAGTATAACCATGATGGAAACCTCTTACTTTTTGTGAAATTAATGAGATATATATTGTGGGAGATAAGGGAATCATTCTGACAACTCTTTCAAGGCTTGATCATATAATTTTCAAAGAGCGTTTACTTTGCCTAAGGACTGCAGGGTATGACCACCCACAATACATTCAAAGGAATAATATTCAATAGAGTTCTGGAGATTTAAGGTACCATATTTGGATTTAAGCCACATAGAGTTACTATTTAGGAAATCAAAGTAACACCATTTAGTGGAATTTATGAAGAGGCAAGTTTTAGCTCAACCTAGCAAAGAAGGGAAGCACCATGTGAAAAGAGGGCTGAGTTGAAGTCGTAGATGTGGGATCTACCCCCACTCTGCCTCATTACCTGATTCACCTTGGGCAAGTCTCTTAACTCCCTTGGAGCTCAGCCCCTCATTGGCAAACTGAGGGGTTAGACTAGATGGTCTCTAAATTCCCGTTCGAATCTAAATACATCAATCTATAATTCTATGAACTCAGTTCAAATCTTGTCCCTGCTATCTACTACCTGGGTCACCTTGGCAAGTCACTTAACTTCTCTGAGCCTCAGTTTTCTCATCTGTGAAAGGAATGGGTTTAACTTTGGTTCATTTGTTTTTCAGTTGTTTCTGACTCTTTGTGACCCTGTTTGTGGTTTTCTTTGCAAAGATACTGGAGTAGTTTGCCATTTCTTTCTCCAGCTCATTTTACAGAAGAGGAAACTGAGATGAACAGGGTTAAGTGTCACGCAGGGTCACACAGCTAGTATTTCTGAGGCCAGATTTAAACTCAGGAAGATGAGTCTTCCTGATTCCAAGCCCAGTGCTCTATCCACTGCACTACCAAGCCACCATTATGGGTTTAACAAGATGACCTCTAAGGTCCCTTCTAACTCTAAATCTGTGACCCTGTGATTCTATGAAGCTCCAAAAAACTGAACCTTCCAGCAGTTGAATGGGCTAGTTCCCAGTTCCTAGAGGGATTCAACTAGACTTTGAATTACCACCTAAAGGTACCGAGGTAGAGAATTTTATAACCTGTGGCAAATTAGACTAAATGAACTGCTTCTCTTTTCTGATTCTCCCCTTAATGCTGCTGCTTCCCTTTGCTGGCCATCTTCAGCATATCTTCTGTTGTAGCTTGTTAGGATTAGTTGTTTAAGTCACTTACCCTATTTGCCTCAGTTACCTCATCTGTAAAATGAGCTGGAGAAGGAAATGGCAAACCACCCCAGTATCTTTGCCAAGAAAACTCCAAATGGAATCACAAAGAGTCAGACGTGACTGAAACAACTGAACAGCATTAATTGTTTACATATTGTCTCTGCCTTTAGACTGAGTTCCTTGAGAGTAAGGACTGTCTTTTGCCTTTCTTCATATCCCCAGTGCTTAGCACAGTGCCTAAGGCAGAGTAGGTGCTTAATAAATGCTTATTGACTGCCTGGCTCCTTCTCCATCCTCTACACAGCTGCCAGATTGATACTCCTATAACTGATTTGACCATGAGCTCCCACTGCAACATAAACAAATACATACCAAAAAAAAAAAAATCTTCAATGCCTCCCCGGTGCCACTAGGATAAAATGTAAAATCTTCAGCCTGGAATTTAAAGCCCCTTGTCATCTGGTTCCCACCTACTTTTACAGCCTTCTTATTTCATATTGTTCCCCTTCAAATATCTTGTTCCATTCAAATGGTTGACTCTTCTCCAAGCAATCTCTGTATCTACACAAGTAGTCTTCAGTGTCTGACATCTGCTCCTTTCTCTCCACTGCATTATAGAATTCCTACAGATCAGGTACATAATTTCCTACATAAGCCCTTTCCTAGTCCACCCAGTTATTAGCATTCTCTCACTTTTGAAATGATTTTGTATTACATTGTATCTCCCCCCTTGTATACATATTGTATCCATTAAGTAGAAGGTAAACTCCTTGAGGACAGGGAATGTGTTGATTTTTTTTTTTTTGCCTTCATCTCCACAGTCCCTTGACAATAGTAGAGGCTTAATAAATGTCTTTCAAATTGAATTGAAAGAATACAATTTTAGGGGGCAGCAAGGTGGCACAGTGGATAGAGCACTGGCCCTGAAGTCAGGAGGACCTGAGTTCAAATCCAGCCTCAGACCAAACACATGACACTTACTAGCTGTGTGACCCTGGGCAAGTCACTTACCCCCAATTGCCTAAAAAAAAAAAAGAATACAACTATACTTGTGTTCCCTATCACACTCAAAACACATTGGGTATTGGGGTTTGGGTAGAGAGTCCTATACAAAGGTCATCCTTTTGTGGATTTAAAAAAAATAAAAATTTTTAAAAAAGATTGACTAGCATAGATTTTTTAAAACCATTATGGAAATCAAAATTTTTGTCATGCTATTGTAGGAAATCCCATTGTAGACATGACATTTAAATGATGTGGTTGAAAATAGATTTCTCTGCTTTGAAATGTAATTCAAGACAGATTTAATAATTTGGTAATCTTTAGTGAAAAGCCAAATGTATCTTTAGACTTTGTTCTTTAAAGTCATCTTTTAATCTATAACTTATTTGGTATATGTTGCATTTAACCATTTATGGAAAATTCCTAACACTGTTGGATGAGTAAAATTAAATTTCCTGAAATGGAATGGATCTTGCAACTATCTTAGACTAGTTATATAAGCCCACTAATTTTACTTTTTTGGTCGGCTAGGTGGCACAGTGGACTGCTGGGCCTGGAGTCAGGGAGACTCATCTTCCTGAGTTCAAATCTTACCAACTGTGTGACTCTGTTTGCCTCAGTTTCCTCATTTGTAAAATGAACTGGAAAGGGAAATGGCAAACTACTCCACTATCTTTGACAAGAAAACTCCAAATGGGGTCACAAAGAGTAAGACATGACTGAAAAATGACTAAGCAACAGCAAAAATTTCATTTTCTCATAATTTAAAGGTCATTCTGATATAGGTACATGCATGTGTTCATGTAGTAACTTTCTTAAGACAAAAAAAAACTACATTAAGACTACACATAGGAATTAAAGGAAAAATCTATCTGGGAATAATAAGTACTGATAAAGATCTAAACTCTTTTCTGTGTTTTTTCTAATCTTATTTTATCAAAGTTTAGCTAGCCTTGAGAAGGAAGAGGAGCTAAGACTTTGAACTTTTCTTAGATTAATAATTTTTTTAGATACTCAGAAATAAAACTAAATGTTCCTAAACCCCACTAAGTCTTCTGGTATTTTTAGAGAGATAAAAAATGTAGGTCTGAGTTCTGCAGGCATAAAAATGTTGACCTTAATTTATAACAAGATGGAAGATGAAGATTCTCAAAGGAAGTCTTTGGATCATTTTCATGAAACCGATCGACTGTCCTAAGACATCATAGATTGGCAGCTCTCTGAAATGTCACAACTAGGGGGTGAAGCAATCACAGAAACCAACCTCAGACTTTCCATCCTTGATAAAAGATAGAATTAGGGAATGTAGTTAATACTTTCAGAATAGCCTACCTGGAAAGATGATGGTTATATCCAAATGTAGTAATAGGGAACAAAGAGAAGGAGTGCATGGTTTCTAGGAGTGCCTATATGTGGTTAATCAGCCAAGTCTAGCAAGGTTTCATCGTATTGCTAATAATATTTTTATTTGCATGATTAAGGAAAAAAAAAAGAACAAGCAACCTTCAAGTGTGTTTGGTTTTTAAATGGGTCTTTGTATCTGGGTTTTTTGTTTATTTGTTTTTTGTTTTATTTTAGGCTAGAGGAACATACCAATACATTTACCAATGCCCGAAACAACCAGTCCAGCATAAACACAGCCTACTCTCATGAAACCAGGACATCTTCCAGGTATGCTAGGTATTTTAAGTCAATAAATTAAACAGCTTCCCTCCCATTTTTTAAAAAACCAATCTGCACATAGCTTTTTCCCTTGCAGGAATTTACCACTTTATCAGGTGATTGTAATGGAAGGTTTTTTTGTGCATAACATCTTTCAGAAAGGTAATAGGATTAATCATTTGGACATTGTTGTGATGTGGTATAATGGATAGAGGGCCTCAGAATCCAAAAGACTGGCCTATGACAGAGTAGATATGTGACTGTGAATAAGTCACTTAACTTCTCAACATCCTAGTTAACTCTAAGACTATAAGTTGGAGTGGTGGTGCAGTGGTAGAGATAGTTAGTGGAGGTTTATTTTCTGAATGAAATTACCAACTGGTGAAAACTACATGCTATTAAAACATTAGAGTGTAGAAAGTTAAGTTTCTTTGTTACTATAAAAGGGTCATACTTATTTGATAATTGAAATATAAATATTTTGTTTATATTACTCCATCTAATATGAAAAGATAAAAGACAGAAGAAGAAAGGCAGTATGTTATGGGGGATAAAGAGCTAGCCTTGGAGTCAGAAGGACCTTATTTCAAGCCCTGCCTCTGATATGTACTGGCTCTGTGCTGTTGTTTTCAGTTGTGTCTGACTCTGTGATCCCATTTGAGGTTTTCTTGGCGAAGATACTGGACTGCTTTGCCATTTTCTTCTCTAGCTCAGTTTACAGATGAGGAAACTGAGGCAAACAGGGTTAAGGTACTTGCCCAGATTCACACAGCTATTAAGTGCCTGAGGCCAGATTTGAACTCAGGAAGATGAGTCTTCCTGACTTTAAGCCCAGCACTTTATCTATTGCATCACCTAGCTGTCCCCCACTGGCTCTGTGGCCCTGAGCAAATCACTTAACTTTTAAATATTCCCCATACAACTATTTAAGATTATTAGGTACAGAATAGTTGCTGATCTGTATTGGTGGAAGGAATTTCCTTATGGGAGGCTCACTACATTTTTTAAATCATACGTCCAGACCAAAACAAAAACAAACAAATAAAACACAAGAGAGAAAGAGAGAGACAGACAGACAGACAGACAGACAGACAGAGACACTGAGAGAGAAAAGCTGAGCACTCCAGTGTATGATCTTTCCATTTAATAAGAAAGAGATGATTATTCCCAATACTTTTATTATAAAAATTAAGTTGATAATAGCTCAATTTTAAATAAAACTTTAAAGTTTATAAAGTGCTTTTCTCATTTCAACCCTTGAGGTAGATAGAAACCATGTCACTAGAGTACTTAAAAAACTAGGGACCTGAATTTAGTATTTTGTATAAAGTATGATTATGACATTTATCTATTCATTCAATCAACAGATTTAGTGGAACACCTATAATAATGATGATGATAATAATGATAATGATAATAACTAGCTTTTACATGGTTCTTTAAGATTTGCCAAGTATTTTATACATATTATTACATTTGATTTGTAATAGGCAAGGCACTATGCTATGTGAACCAAGAGAGTTACAAGGAAAAATAAGGCATTTTCCTGCCTTCAAAGAGCTTACAGTCTAGTAAATGATAAAAGTCTCTTAATTATTCATAAAATCCCAGTAAACAGTAAAATTTCATATGGGCTTAATTAGTATTTTCCTTTAGATTTAAAAATCTGTGGGGGGATTGTTATCAGGAAATATGATTAGGACAGTAGAATAAAAAGGATTTTTAAAAGCCAAAGTCATTATTACTCAAATTCTCAGTGTGTTTACTCACATATGAGACAAAATATTCTTGAGAATAATGTCTAATGATATTTTAGAAATAGAATGTACTGGTGGAAGTATATAGTACCAGGAATAAAAATACTGATAATGAATTTTGGGAGTAGTCAATTAATATAACCTTTACATTTAAATTAAAAAAATAGTTTAAAAGAAGAAATACCTATGAATAAATTATATTTTATACTGAATTTTACTAAATAATAACTCAAGTTATTCAATAGCTTGCTATTATTAATATTCTTGTAAATAAACTTTTAAAAATGAAGTTAAAACTGTTTGTATTTCAGCTATAATACTCGAACCAAGTACTCAAGTCCAAAGGACAGTGTTGTGTACACAAGGACATATGTGGAGAATAGGTATTGGAAAGTTACCTCAAATATTTCCCTATTTTAAAAATAATTCTGAAATCATCTATGATTAAGAGTAGAAGCTGTAATCTTCAGGTATGATGCTCCTAGTGTAAAAAATATTTACCAATATTTTGAATTCTGGATGCATAATAATATTTGATGTTCCAAATATTGAATTATCCTGGGAAAGGCTAATCTAGTTGAATTTTAATATCAGTACACACACACATACACACACACACACACACTCATGAAAGACAACATGACATAGTGGCCAGCCTTAGAGTGAGGAAGACCTGGGTTCAATTTTGACCTCTGACACATACTAGCTGTTTTAACCATCGGCAGTTCACCTAAAATTTTCTAAAATTATATGAATTACAAAAATAGGAAGTTCTCTGAAGTTTATATATATATATATATGTGTGTGTGTGTGTGTATGTAGTATGTATGTATGTATGTATATTATATATATATATATATATATATATTACAGCAAGTTGTTGATCTGCTTTGGTGGAGGGAGTTTCCACATAAGAAGCTTTCTACACCAATGAAATAACAGAAGCAGAATAGAAAACAATTTTTAAAACTCTATTTTACATGTTTATTGCTTAAATATGTATTTAAATCTGTGTGTATGTATGTATGTATATGTATATATGGATGCATATATACACACATGTACACACATGCACACACATGCACACTCATCATTTGTGTATATACCTGTATGGGATAAGGTCGCCATTTGAAAGTTCTCACATAATTTTCACATATTTATTTGTAGTATAATACACTTTTGAAATTCTGAAGTCACCAAGTATCCCTCTAAGAATAATTACACTTAGATTAGGAGTTTCCAGATGCTATTAATTGCCTGCTGTGTTGGGTGCAACAGGAACTGCTTCCGACAGTTTCCCCATTAGAGCTCCAGAGATTACTGGATGATGTAATGAGATGACAAATGGAAGAGACATATGTAGTACACATATTGATTATAGCCTGCTATTTAAAAACAATTCCAAAGAGAAGAGCCTCTTTTTTTGCCTCTTGGCTGTGGATCACAAGAAAGACTATGCTATAAGGATGATCTAGAGTAATTCCCAGGAGGGCCAAAGGTCAGTGAAGTGTGCCACAGGAAGCTTTTCTAGTCAACACTTTTTTCATATATGACTATTATGTATATATGTTTACACACACATATACACACATAACACACATGCACATTTATGTGTATATATATATGCACACACATATTTATGTATACATGTATGAATATACATATATGTGTGTGTATATATGTATATATATATATATATACACACACACCCACATATGTATAAAACAAGCTCACCTGAATAGTCACCTGAGTGACTCCAGCTACCTTTAATTGAAAAGATAAAAAATTCCACTGTTAATTTCAAAATAATAAGTAGCTAAATGTGTAAGATTAAAGAGCAATTAAACAGATCTAAAGTAACCATGAAAAGCAAGCAAAAGGTCAAATGGCAGCAAAGAGAATAAAAACATCATTTTGGCATTTTCTATTTAATCATACAATAATCTCACATAGAAACTCCATTCTAATAGTCTCTCACAGTATTGATTTAAAAGCATTTCTTATGAAATTCCGTGTCAAACAATATTAAGTTCGAGTTAAGTAAAAAAAAAAACACTTTTATTTAGGATTCAGGAGTCGTAGGACAATTATACGCAGATAATTGAAAAAAAAAAGCATCAGCTCTATTAGCACTTGAATGATGTCAGTCTGGTGTCCGTATTGATGATAGCGAATCTTTCATTTTATAAATACAGTCATGACCATCTGGAAAAGAACATATTGGAAAAAAAGAAAAGATCCAAATTCCACACACTTCCCCATGCTTGCCCCCCAAAAAGTTCTGAAAGTTAAACTTAAGGAAGTTTCATGAAGCAGCAGTTTGCCCTTCATTAAGTCCATTTCAACAAGTTACAGACACACTTCACACTTCTTCAAATTTTATAGTACAATACAGTAGAAAAAGCATAGGATTGGGAAGAAAGAACTTGGCTTCAGCAACAGTTTTGCTTCTACTAGATCTGTGATGAGGGAGGAGGGGGAATGACCTGTTTCTAAAGGACTATGATGCTAGTATTCTATTATAATTGTCACTCATGAATTTATCCAAAATTATCTTGAATCCTCTGTTTTAGCCTGGGTTAAGGGGAAAGAGGTAACAAATTCCCATAAGTTTCTAATAGCCTTTCCATGGAAGTCTGGTTGGTGGCAAAGAGGGAAATACTATCCAATACTACCAAAGCTTAAAACTGCACTGAGGCTTTAGGGTCACTGAACTAACAAATACTGTAAAGGTGTCACTGAATAAGAATGAAACCATTAAGTTTCTGGAATCTAATCTTCCTGAGGAAACTGGGTATTTGGGAAGTAATTATAATTACAACTTACACTTATTCAGAGCTTAAGATTCACAAAAAAAAAAAAAAAAAAAAATTCCTCGCAACAACCCTGTGAAGTAAGTAGTCTAAATATTTAGGGACAAGGAAAATGAAGTTCATAGAGGCTGGATGATTTGCCCATGGTTACACAACTAGTAAATATCAAAGCTGGGATTGAATCGCAGGTATCCTGACTCAAAGCCCAGTGATCTTATTATAACATGACTGGGCAGAATATTTCAAATTTCACTCATCTCCAATGTAGATGGATGTTCAACAGTCAGGCAACAACCATTTACTAAGTAGTTACTACATGCCAGTCATTATTCTAAGTGCTTGGGATACAAAGAAAAACAAATAATTAAAAGATCACCTTGATATAGCAATACATTTTTTAAAAGTACGAAAAGATTCCAAACATGATTCATTATCTAATTTTGTAACCATTTTAATTTTTTTCCTTAGGTGTTGGGCAAAAAAGGCCCCAAAACACAAATATTGTTTTGTAACTTGGCTTTTGAACACCAAGTCGATTCTTGATTCTATGTGTAGTTTCTCTCTTCATCCTTGTCTCTTTACCACTCTGTCTCTCTATTTCTCTGTGTCTCTGTCACTTTCTCTCTCTCTGTCTCTGTCTCTCTGCCTCTCTCTTGGTCCCTCCCTCAGAGAGAGAGAGAGAGAGAGAGAGAGAGAGAGAGAGAGAGAGAGGGAATATAGATGCACAGACCAATACTGGAGTTTCATGTACTTTCAATATTGCAGGACACCTTGAAGGATGAACATGTTTCATAGATCTGTATCATATTTTTTATAGCAAATACCCAAAGGACGGCTATGAAGAAAGTGTCACTGGAAAATATATACAAACAGTTTATTCAACCTCTGATAGGTAAGCATGTATTATACTAAATTATATACGTGTGTGTCATGGCGATTCAAAAGCAGTCAGTGAGCCAATCAACTAACATTTATTAAGTGCCTAGTATGAGGGGAAAAAGTTATTGTTCTGAAGGAATTCACAGTCTAATGGATTGCTAATAGTCCAGTTAGGTAAAAGCACAGAGTATGTGAAGAAGAGTATATAAGTCTTCTAGAAAGGCAAATTAGAAGAAGGTGGTAAGGGGCCTTTAACTTCTGACTATATTTTTTTCACTGAAGATTTTTGGCCTACATAGGGATCAGAAACTTTTGGCAAGGATGGCCAAGGACCAATTAATCTTCAGCATGTACTACACATATTTCCCTTTCTCGTTGTCTTCACAAATCCAATACTGCCCTATTGCTAAAAATCACCTTCTCTCATGGTGTTACCATTTGAACAAATTAATGTCATCATCCTCTCTGTCCTGAGAGGCAGGGTAGGATAGAGAACTGGCTTCCATACTTGGAATACTTGGGTTTGAATCCTGCCTCTGGCACATACTGGCTATGTGACTCTAGGCAAGTCATTTAACTTCTCAGTACTGTAACAAAATATCTAAGAATGTAAATTGTAGGGAAGGTGCTACTATTCATTAGTAGAGGGAGTTTCTTCATCTAGGAATCTCCATACCAATGAAATAACAGGTCAGGTTCTATCCTCATCCCTATTCTCTCCCTTGCTGGCATGACAGAAGGAGCAATCAATCATTTAATCAATGAACAAGCATTTATTAAGTAATTACTATGCTCCAAAGACTGTGTTAAAGACTCCTGGTTTTTAGTGTGATATTGGTATTGGAGAAATCCCCAAATTAATGTCTTTTCCATGGTGGTATGTCTATTATTGACATGGCTGGACACAGCCTCTGCCCATGAGAGTGTTCCTGTTAATCTACTAAGTAGCTTTCTCTTAATCCTACAGAGTGCTTGGTGATTCTCTTTATTTACCTATGCCCCATGTGGGTTTTCAGCCTTTTGATCATTAAACAATAGTAGTGCTCACTCACTATGTGTCATAGGTACTATGGAGAATTATAAAAGAAATAATAATCCTACTTCCCTATCTTTAAGTGCTTGCAATCTATTGGGGGATGACTGCATACATAAAACCAGAAAAATACATAACTAAACACACAAAATTAATATAGATTCTGGCTGTGTGATGAATGCATAGAAGAATTGTAACCTCTCTGGGTGCATAAAAAGTTAATACCTGCCATGTACATTCAGAAAAACAGTTCATCCATTCCGGTACTCTTATCTAGCATTAAGGGAAGTATATTGAAAGGTGCTTGTTTCTCTCACTGCTATATTCCTCAAAATTAGGAATTTCCCCAAATAACCATGGTTTTCCTTTAATGGCCTTTTAAGGACTTCAAGTCTTTTTGTTTAAATCGAAATTGTCTTGAAAATGTTTCTCTTTTTGGTTTGCTCCATATTTTGAGAGTTACAAGATTCATAAGGTTACTACGTGTAGTATGAAGCCATTTGATTTGCTCCAAACTAGCCTCTATCATGCAATTTCTCCTGGTGTCACTATCAAAAGGTGAACCTCTTGTTTCCTGTTCCTCTTCAACACTCCTGAATTCTTAAGTTGTGGTTTTCCCTCATATTATTCCATTGCCATCATTTTCAAGTAATTAGCAAGTCAATGAGATAATATAATAGTAGCAGGTGGTCTGGAGCATTCGTATTGGCAAATTCTGGACTGCAAAGTTTCTCAAAATAACATGGCTAACATTTCATCACATCATTGCCATATATTTTTTAAAGTTGACTGTCAGTGCACTGTATGAACCTGTCATTTAAGAGATGGAGATGCTCACATTTATATAATTGTTCATGTTTGCACAGGTCTGTCATTGAAAAGGATATGTGTACCTATTGCCGAAAGCCCCTGGGCTCAAAAACCAAGATGATCTTGGATGAGTTACAGATTTGCTGTCATTCAACTTGCTTCAAAGTAAGAAGAGCTTTTTCTTTTTCTTTTTTTTTTTTTAGAATATGAGCTTACATAGCAATAAATAATCAAGAAGTGAATGAAAAAGCTCATGTTAAGTGATTGCTGTATTAAATGAGCAATGGGAATACCAATACAAAAGTGAAATAATCCCTGTCTTCACAGAACTTCTATTCTAAGGCTAGTGGGTGGGTGGAGAGAGACAACACATACAGATGAATAGTGCTGAGGGAGGGAGAGTTTGCTCTGATGCATCACAGGGATAGCAAGTTGATCCATTGGGCAGCTGGTTGACATGACTTTTCCAGAAAGCAATGTTAGTATTGATTTGAGGACTGTGCTAGAGCAGGAAATTGAACATGGGGAGAGAAGATAGATGGGTCTTTAATGGTAGAGCAGATGGCAAGATGACCCAGGTGGTTGACTGGATGGAGTATAAAGAGTGGAATGATCTAGGGCTGGCTGAGTTGGTCAGTTGGCATTCATTTACCCATCATCACCTCACTAAGGAGAAATTCCTCATCATGTTCTTGGGCAGGAATTTCAAAGCTGAATGGATTAACTGCCCTAGAGCCTAGGGATATGATTTCTACAAATTGGGTCTAGAGGATGCAATTTTATGTGGTAAGAAACATAACAGCAACTGAGCACATGAAAAAATGGGCCCTGATAGATGACTGGATGACTATGAGATATAAAGCATGGTATGGTTGAATATATAACATAAAAATAATTGCTTTTTGAAAAACATGTAAAGGAAATAATGCTTCATAGACCCCCGCTATTGTCTTCATTAATAATACATTGTTTAAATGTGCTCTTCGGTGCTCTCAAAGATTTGTAGGTATTGGCTTTGCAATATCCTTGGAAACAATTAATAATGTGTATTTGACATTTGACAGTTCCTGGCTCTTTTCAATTCTGTAGAAGTGTGGTCAGTGTACAACAGTTGAATTTATAAAATTGACTCCAAAGTTTTAATGAATCATAATAATTGTGATATTTAAAAAGTGACAAAACTATAGAAAAGGAACTACATACAAATTCAAAATTTCATATTCAGCAGTTTGACCATAAAATGTCATCAGGCTCTTGGAAAAACAGTCACTGGATCCTTAACTTGGAGATTATTACAGAAGATCCTCTTCCAGCAGCCTGATTCCAAAAGCATAATTAATTATAATTAGTTGCCTAACTCAAGGCATCCATGTAAGGGTGGTCTTCAATGACCTGGCAACTAATTACCTCCTAATGCACTGGAATTTGATATGTCTCATAATCAAAGGCTGGCGTATAAGTTTCTCTTCCCACAACAAGCAGAACTAGAGAAACTGAGTAGGAGCCAAGATGCTGGGTAGACCATGTGGCTTAGAAACACAGCCATGGATAGCAACAAAGCATACACTTAGTAGCTAGGGCTACAAATCAAGGGGTGATCTTGACATGTTTATAGTGTAGAAAGGCCTGCTGGTCTTCCAATAGTCTTTTGAGATGTATCCATATAAATGGATAGCACTGGACTCAGCCTCATTTCCAAACATGAAAGACATTGATATACTATATATACATGATATTATGTTAACATTAGGGAAAAGCTTCCCCCTGGCAGTTTGTACAATGGAATGTGAAGACTATATAGTTGGTATAATTAGAAAAGTTCCCCACAGAATTGTTACATTTTATTGAAAGGAATAATGCTCCCCCGGTACAGTATTTACTCTGTACTTGTCCATATGGAAGTATCATGCACAAATTATCTCATTTGTGCTGCCACTCTCCCTATAGCAGCTGTTTCAAACCTTTCCTTCTTTCCTTGAGCCCCAATCTCTTCTCTCACTTACTACTTTACCGAGACTAAGTCCATCTCTTGTGAGCTCCCTTATCTCTCGTCCACAATGTAGAATCTCTCTGTGTTCTTGAATATGGTTTTTTTTTTTCATTCCTGTAGTCTCAGATAATAGCGACCTTCCTTTTTGCAAGATTAACCTCTGCTTCCATACTCCTAATCTCATTGCCTCCTGACTCCTCCAGGATCTGGCTTCATTCCTCCCTCCTTCTCTTTCCCAGTTCTCTCTCCTTTCTTCCTCCCCTCTCTCCTCCTCCCTCTTATTCACTCTACTTTCTTCCCTGTCCTCTCTCTCTTCCCTTCCCTATTCTCTTCTCCCTTTCCCTCCCTTTTTAATTTCCTCCCATCTCTCCCTCTTTCTGTTCTTTTTCTTTCTTTTGTTTTCTTCCTCCCTCTTTCCATTTTTCTCTGACCCTCCCTCCTTTTTTCTTTCTCGATCTTTCTCTCTTTTACTCTTCCATTCTATTTTCTCTCTCAGTCCCTCTTCTTCTGTTTCCCTCTTTTTCATTCTCTTTCCCTCTTTCCCTCACCCTCCATCTCTCTCTTTCTCTTTTCCATCTTTAATCTTTTATTCTCTTCCACCTCCCCAATCTGCTTAGATCTTCCCTGTTACAAAAAAGGAGTGATATCTTCCCTTGACTGTCCCCAAGCTACTGTCTTATTTTTAACCTTACCTCACTATTTAACTTCTGGAAATGGTAGTCTACATTTGCTGTCTTCATTTTCTCAATATCTGTTCTTTTCTCAGTTTCCTGAAATCTGACTTTGGTCTCTACCACTCTACTTTAAAAAGTCAGTAATCTCCAAAGTCACCAATTGCTTCTTAATTGCCAAAGCCTTTCCTCAGTCTTCATCCTCCTTGACCCTTTTATAGCATTTGATACTCTTGGTAACATCATCTTTTTTTTATACTTGTCTTCATTTTTCTTCCAGGACATTTATTTTCCTGATTCTTCTCTTACTCTACCTATCTATTCTTGCCTGTTTTTTGCTGATTGGTATTCCTTCTCCCATCCACTAAATGTGAGTATTTTCTAGGTCATGTTCTTAACTTTCTTCTCTTCTTTCTATGTACTTGCTGTGTTAGAGATTTCACCTTTTCCTATGGTTTTATTTATCAATCTATATATCTAGGTGGCATGATACATATAGATGGATGTAGATAGATAGGTAGCCCCATCCTTTCTCTGAGCTATAGTAATATGTGTGTAGCTACCTATTGGACCTTTTTTGTCTGGATGTCCTGTTGGTACCTCAAACTCAACATGTTTTAAATGAACTTTTCATTTCCCCCCTCAAACTTGCCCTTCTACCCAAGTTTCTTATTTGTGTTGACAGCACAACCATCCTACCAGTCACCCAGGCTTAAAATCCCAAAGTTATTTTTTTAAGAGATCATGTCTTTACTTTTTTTTACTTTACTTTTTACTATTTAAAAAAAATAATTTATTTTTAGTTTTCAACATTTACTTTCATAAGATTTTGAGTTTTAAATTTTCTCCCCCCTCTTTCCCCCCACCTCCCCAAGATAATTTGATATAGGCTCTACTTATACATTCATATCAAGCAAATTTTCACATTAGTCATGATGCATAGAAGAATTAGAGCTAATGTGAGAAACCACAAGAAAGAAGAAATAAAACAAAACAACAAAAGAAAAGGAGAGCAAATAGTATGCTTCCATCTGCATTCAGAGTCCATGGTTCTTTTTCTGGATGCGGATAACATTTTCCACCATGAGTCTTTTGGAATTGTCTTAGATCCTCGCATTGCTGAGAAGAGCTAAGTCTATCAAAGTCAGTCATCACACAATGTGGCTGTTACTGCATACGATGTTCTCCTGGTTCTGCTTATTTCACTCAGAATCAGTTCATATAAGTCTTTCCAGGTTTTTCTGAAGTCTACCTGCTTATCATTTCTTATAGCACAATGGTGTTCCATTACATTCATATACTACAACTTGTTCAGCCATTCCCCAGTTGATGGGCATCCCCTTAATTTTCAATTCTTTGTCACCACAAAAAGAGCTGCTATAAATCTTTTTGTTCATGTGGGTCCTTTTCCCATTTTTGTGATCTCTTTGGGATACAGACATAGAAGTGGTATTGCTGGGTCTCAAAGTTATTTTTGATGCCCGCATCTAATCAGTTGTCATATCTTGTGCTGTTAGGGTCAGAAATATCTCTTGAATTTCTCTTAGCATTTCCATTCACTTTGCTATCACCCAACTTAAAGCAGTTGTCACTTGCCTGGACAACTACAATAGTATCTTACCTACTCTTTGTTCCTCTACTTTCTAAACCATTCTCCATACAATCATCCAAATAATCTTCTTAAACAATAACTCTATCCATATCACTGCTCTGGTTTCCTATTGCCTATTATTAGACAAATGGCAGCTTTTCAGTCTGGCATTTAAGACCTACTGCAGTCTAGTTCAATCTATCTTTCTAGCTTAATTTCACACTCCTTCTTTTTGTCTGCTCTACATTGTCGCCAAACTACACTGCTCGTTGTTTCACATTGTGATTTTACCATTTCCTGAATTTGAGTAGGAGATGAAGGTCTGTAATGTATTTCTTCCACATTTCTACTGGTTGAAATTCTTCTTTCAGCAGAGCTAAGTTCCTGCTCAGGCACTGCTTTTTCCATGAAGCTTCCCCTGATTCTCCTCTAGCTAAAAGTGATTATTCTTTTCATATATTTTTTCTAGAAAACTTTGTCTGAACCTCTCCTTTACTCTCATCAACTCTACTTTGCATCCTACCTATATGTATGGGTACATTTTACATTAGCTTGTAAGATCTTTGAAGGCAGAAACTGTCTTTCTTTTGTTGTTTTTGTATACCCATAACTGAACAAGGTGTCTTGCATATAGTAGGTGTTTAATAAATGTATTTTTTGGTAAACTCAATTCATTCATTTTAAGTGACTCTTTTCAGTTTTTATGGCTAACAAAGTAGTAGCCCAATTCTGCTTTATACCTGCCTGTCTATGAGCTAACTAAGAACTCCAAATGACTACATAGGTTCTGATATCTCACTTTATGGGAGACAGAAATTGGTTTTCTTATTCAATCAGAGCTTTTGTATTTTAAGTTTTCTTTGTTTTTCTTTAGTGTGAAATTTGCAAAAAACCTTTGGAAAACCTGGAAGCTGGTGATAGCATTTGGATCTATAAACATACTGTACACTGTGAGCCTTGCTACTCCAAGGTTGTAGGTAGGTGCCAAGTTTGGTAATCCACTGACATTTTTGTAAGCATTGAAAGATCTTTGGGGGTGGGGTGTTTATAATGCCATAAATTAAGTTATTATAATAATATTCCATATTATTTTTGCTAAATATTATTAGTACAGATATTTAGGCAAATTTATTATAAGGATTATTTCATACCTTAAGTACATAGCTTTTGTACTCTAGCTTGTGTGGTAAAAATAGTTAAAATGCTTACCAGTTTTCAATATCAAACATTGTAAAACATGCAATTTATTGCCTATTATAGCTATTTCATTCATTAGCTAGTTATCACAGAAAGATATGAAAGTTCTACCCTCAAATTATTCTTTGCATCATTCATTGACCCTCCAACCAATGACAATAGCAGGAAATGACTTTTAATATTTGCATTTTTGTACACTTCCGGTATAGAACAATTATTAACTGAATGAAACTAGGGCTTCCTGTTTCACCTGAGTTGGATCTGCAGTGATAACTCAGGAGGCTAAGCCTACTCTTTATCCACACAGTAAGTTTGGCCTGCTCATTTCAGTCCAAGCTAGTTTATCTCTCCTTGGAGGCTCACCGTATTGGTGCCAAGACTTAGGGCAGACACTTGATTGTCTAGTTTGTTGTAGCTTAGAGAGCCTACATTCAAATGATCTGCCAACCTCGGCCTCTCCAGCAGCAGGAAGAGTAGGTTCGGTTATTACCAAAGTGCTTTTTAACATTATTAAAAGGATCATGAAGTTAATGCAATATTAAATTATTATTATAACATTTGTCTTTTCATAAGTGGTCTCGGTAGTCAATTATTTGAAGGGTTGTCATATGGAAGAATGATTATACTTGTTCTATTTGACCTCAGAGGTCAGATCTAGGACCAGTGAGTAGAATTTACTAGGAAGAAGTTTCACCACAATGTGCCAAAGAAAATTCCTAAGAATGTAGTACTGTCCAAAAAATTGAATAAACTGAACTAGAAGGTGATAAGTTCACTTTAACTAGAGGTATTCAAGATGAGGCTGAATAAACACTTGTCAGTTAAGTGTGGTGGGAGAAATCTGTAATCCCTACCACTAAGGGAGGCTGAGGCTGGTGGATAGCTTGAGTTTGGAAGTTCTGAGATATAGTAGGCCTAAAGCATATCAGGTATCCGCATTAAGCCTAGTGCCAATATGGTGAGCCTCTAGGAGTAAGGGGTCCCCAGGCTGCCTAAGGAGCAGCAAACCAGCCCACGTCAGAAACAAAAAGGGTCAAAGCTTCTTTCTTGATCATCAGTGGAGTCAGGCCCATCAGTAGAGGCTGTACTGTCAGCTTGGGCAAAATAAAGGAGACCCAGTCTCAAAAGCAAACAAAACACATGTCAAAGAAAGGAGGGACTTTCAATAAGTCAATAACTGAACTATACTAGAAATATATACAAGTGCAAATATAAAAGGCCATTTTCTGTTATTTATTTTCTGGGCATACATTGGTTTCTTGTCTCTGATGTTGCTTGGACTAGAGAAACTCTGAGAACCCTAGAATCTATGTTTCATAAGTTCAAAACCCCATGGTATCATAACTTATTAACTGAGAGTGTTAGCCTCAGAGTAGGAACACTAGAATCTAAATCTCACCTCTGACAAGTATTGGTTGTGTGACCCTGGGTAAGCAACTTAACTTCTCAGTCCTTCAGGCAACTCTCAAAGACTATAAATTAGAGAGAAGGTACTGACAAACATTGATAGAGGGAGTTTCCTCACTTGGGAGTTTCCTATGTCGTTTTCAAAGAAGGCCAATGACATCACAATGTCTTGACTTGAGCATGAATTGGATTTATGTGAGGCAGAATTGGTTTGGATGGTTTAATGAAACCTATATTCATGCCTTCTGGGAGTTTCCTATACCAATGTAAACACAAATCCAATCCCTATCCCTATGTACATAAATTATGTGAAAGGGTCCCCTATTTTTTACCATAGAAATCATGAAGAGTTGGGAAGCAATTTTAAAGATGTTTGCCATGCAGAAACTTTATTGCAATAAAATTCTGTGAGATGAGATACATCTTTGAAATTCAGTATCAGCTTTATATTTTTATATTCAGTTAATAAGGGAGAGGTACAAAGGAGTTAGAAACCAGATAACAATACAGTGAAAAAGACATTTTTTCCTGTGGAGTTTCTCTCTTTCTTTGCTGATGGCATGTCAAACAGTAATTCGCTTGATTCCTACAAAGAATCTAGATTAGGGAACCTAACTTTATCCAAAGGACCACAGGTCACTAACATCTAGACTAACCTAAGTATGAGAGGCCTGAACTGAGTTTGTAAAAAATTTAGAACACAGTTTGGCAAGCTATCAAAATTTATCTCAAGAAAGGAACAAATCCTGCTCAAATTTTCCCCTACTTCACATCCTTTTCCCAGCCATATTTAATTTACTTCCTAATGTTGCCCACTGAATGCCTTACAAGATGGAAATCTCTGATTCCCCAATAAGCATGTATTTTATTGTTCCAGAACCTGTAGTTCCTCAAAGGAAGGAAACAAGCATTTATTAAGTACCTACTATGTGTCATGTACTGTGAAAATGCTTTATAAATATCTCATTTGCTCCTCAAAATAACCCTAGTAAGTAGGTGTTATTACTATCCCCATTTTATAGCTGAAGAAACTAAGGCAGAGGTTAAGTGACTTGCCCATGGTCATACAGCTAATAAATATTTGAGGCTGGATTTGAACTTGGGTCTTCCTGACTCCCAGCCTTCCTCAAAGAGCCAGAAGTGCTTATTTTTTTCATCCCTCCCTTTGCAAACTCAGAATTATGTGTTCAGAAGGTTGGCTGTACACAGGATTAAAAACCATATGGTAGAGGATGTGTTTCTAGTGTCGACATGTTCCCATAATGCATTAATGTGTTTGCCTTTTAATTATAGGCACATAGAGAATTATAATGAATTCAATATATCTAATTGTTGTTTCCTTTTTACTTTTAGCCAAGTGGATTCTGTGATTCTGACATGTGGAAACCAAGATGAATGCCATTTACTGAGAACATTTAGTTCTTTAAGGAAAGCTTTTTGGTTCACAATATTTAGCTTTAAGCTTTCTTACTGAAGATTAAAAGAATCTTGTGTATAATTGCTAATTCTGCTATGAATCAAATAGTCAATGCATATGCTAAAGTTAGTCACAGGAAGGGAACTATTCCATGTAAAGCAGATTTAGAGATCAAAAATTGAACTAGTCACCACCATTTTCTCCAGCCTTGCCCAAAATGACCAGTGCAATAGCGATGATGCCTCTGATGGCAATGAGCATTGACAGTTAAGGAGGGCACTTCCCTTTTCAGGCTGAGTCAAAGTTTTTATTTTAATATTTTTTGTGGGGGCCTATTGCTTGGTTTTTTAATTTGCCCATCTTTATTTTCTCAGCCCTTCAGTGAATGTGTCATCCTCTTAGTTTGTATCATTGATGTGAATTAAAGTACATTTTAATAAGTATCTCATGAAATGAAGACATTTGCCTAGCACGTGTCCAGTTGACACCTACAACAAAGATTTTTGATGGCCAATTTTTGACAATAATATGGCAGCAAGATTTAATATAGAGGGCAATTTTCTACTTTAAAGTTAAGAAGGACCTATGATTTTGCATTTATCAAAAATCTAAAGAAACATTATCTTGGTAGCCTATCTTATCAAGGATATTATTTTTATAGGCTGTTTTAAGAACCAAAGGGAATAGATTTGTGGGTGAGTGATAAAATCATACTAAATGTATACTTTGTAGGTAGTACCTTTGTTATATTTTTCTTTGAATGCTTTTCAAAATCTAGTTAAGCAGGCAGTCAATAACGATGGTTATGGACTACAAAAACACTTTCTTTGGTGTGGCACTTAAATTCATATTGCACAGCACTTTGTATCTGCAAATGGATTATAAAAATAAATTGAAATACCTGTTAACAATAAATCTGTTTGTTGAGTGTGATAATCAGCTTTGTTTACCAATGGAGTAATTTACTGATTTTGTGAGTAAGTCAATCAGTAAATATTTATTAAGCTTCTGCTATGTGCCAGGCTCTATGCTAAGTTTCAGGGATACAAAGAAAGGCAAAAGAGAGATAGTTCCTGCTCTCAAGAAGCTCACCATCTAATGAGGGAGACAATGTGCAATTATGTATAAACACAACATATGCAAGATAAATTAGAGAAAATCAACAGAAGGAAAGTATTAGCATTAAGGGAGATCTAGAAAGGCTTCCTGTAGAAAGTGGATTTTATCTGGGACTTGAAGGAAGCCAGGGAGACGAGGAGGCAGAGAGGAAGAAGGAGAGAATTCTGGTGATCGAGGTATGTGGTCTCATGTGGTATGACCAATGTTTTACTTATTGGTTTTTTTCAGTGTGTGGAGGCTCTAGTTATTATTTGCAATGTAGCTATTCTGTAAGCATTCGAAAGTGCTCAGGTTGAAATCGAAAAAGAGAACACTTAAAAATTTGATTTTATACTTACAGTGAATATTCATTAAAATAAGAAGGTTTGAACTTTTAGGGAATTCTAAGGAAAGGTCAGGGTAGTCATGGAGAACTGAGCTAGAGAAACTCAAAAGCTGAAACAATTGACCAATTCAATAGCTCATCCTTTTGGGTTACGGGTAGGTATTGTCACATGTACTACTCTACACAGGCCTGGCCTCAAAAGAGTTAAGTCCAAAGTGACTAACAAAATACAATAATGTCATAATAGTTGTCCTGTGGAAGAAGGAGGAGCCTGAGAAGAGAATAAATAATAATTCTGTGTTCATTAATTCACACTCTATGAGAAGCCATAGTAATTAAGCCATGTGTTTTATTGTTCTTTTATTATATGGTATCCTAGTAGATCAAAAGAAATAATTTTGTCAGACTTGAAACTCATTGTAGGAAAGGACTCAATGAAGCAGACTCACTGCTTTGAAAAAAATATTAAATCATATTAACATGTAAATACTTTTATAGCAAACTAGTCTTTTGATATTCTTTTTATATATCATTGAAATATTTTATTTCCCTTTAGTGTTCGGTGAAACAATTAAAAGAAATATATTTTTTTGCAGCTGCTAAATTGACCTTTTAACCTCTTCCAATAACATATTAAAGATGGCTAAAACAATGCTGTAATGGAATAAATTGAGGGTGGAGGAAAGAAGAGGAGTTGAATTCACTAAGCCCACTTCACTAAAACTGAATCTGCAAACACCATACCATAGACTAAGATATACCAAAACATATTTTTTTTAGATTTGTCACAACCATTCATCTGTCTTTGTGAGTAAATAGCAATATCAGACCTATCCTAGACTTACTTGCTTAAAATTAACCCAACGACACTTGATCTTGATTTCTCTAGCTAAGATCACGTTTATAAAAGATATGCAATGGATCTAAAGGGAAAGTGCTTCAAATTGGATTATATCATAGAATTATAGTTTCCTAGAGATGAATGGGATTTTGGAGGTCATCAAGTAGAAACCTCTCATGTTATAGTTGGAAAAACAAAGTCCAGAGGGGTAAAACGATATAGGAGCAAAAAAAGTGCTAGAGTCTCAGTCAGAAAACCTGATCTTGAATCTTGGCTCCTTCATGTACAAATTCTGGACCCCAATTTCCTCATCTGCAAAATGGGAAGGTTAGACCAAATCTCTTTCAGCTCTAAAAACCTGTGATCTTATTACACAGCTAGTAAATGACAGAGCCAGAATTTGACCTCAAGTTTTCTGAGTCCAAGATCAGTGTGACCTTTCCACTGTGCCTTGATTCTTACTAGCAAGAGAGAGCAAAAGGAAAGCACGCTACTTCACAATTTATTAAGTTATCCCCTATTAATAAAGCTGAATAATGGGAATTGTCTCAGCAAATAATCTAAAATGTGCATCCCTAATCCTTTGACCACAGTAATTTATATTGTTAAATAGGATTAGCAAGTCGTACCAACTATTACTGATTAGCATCTTTCTGGAAAAATTTTGGCTTATGTTTAATATGATAGAAAGCTGATAACATTTGAATAATTTTCATATACAGGATAAGTCTGCAACATTATTAAAACCACTGATTTAATAGTGAAAAATTCATCTAGTTGATTATTCTGTCTATTGCATGCTAACAGTATAATCTGATTTTTCCCTCGCTAAACTAAATAGTTGCTTTAGTATCATGTGAACACACATAAATTTGAATAAATATAATTTGGTTTCCAAGAAACCAAATATTAATACTCTGACAATTAGTAACTGCATGCAAAATCAGGGAAATCCTTTAATTTAACTTCCTTACACCTTAATTTACTCCTTAAAAATAAAGGGTTGGAATAGACAGTTCACTTTGGCCTTAACACTGATTATCTTATTTGGTACATAAGTAACTAAAGGTAAAATTAAAGGTTATAGTCTTTTATATGTAACAATTGAAAATATTTTAAAAACATGGATTGATTTTTTTTCTTCAATAAGTATTTCCTTAAGTCATTTTCAAGAAACAGTTAATTTTAATTTTGCACCAAATATCCAAGAACCTCAAATTCCACTTGTAACTTTTTTCTTGAGAGAAATGAATCCATGAATGGAGCTTTTCCAGTACTACTGACTTAATATCTTGTCCCCTGATTTTGGAAGAGTATGCACAATTTCAACAAGACTTGTCCACATTTGTACTCTGGATATTAACTTGATGTCACAACATTATTCATCTTTTTTTTTTTATAAACATGAAATCTACCTTCTAGCAAGCAGAACAAAGATGTGAAATTCAGCCTTGAACTTCCTGTGTCATTTGCTACCATTGATAAGTTCTTCATATGTAATGCTGTTCTGTCCTTTGGCTTCCCTGACACTTCCCTGTCCTATTTCTCTCTTCTTACCTCTGAGCAATACTTGAACTACCACAGTCAATCTCTCCTTCCCCTTCCACAAAGCGCTATCCTTGGATTTCTGTTCTCTGGCCACACCCTGTCCCTTGACTTCATCCACTTCCATTGCTTCAGTTATCAACTCTATACAGATTGGTTTCAAGACTACTTCTTTTATCACTGACCTCTAACTTGGATTTCCATTTCTAACTGCCTCCTGGAAAGCTATACCTGAATTCCTTATTGACAACTGAAGCTCAATATATCTACAGTAGAATTCATTATCTCTCTTCCTCTTCTTAACTTTTCTCCTCTCGCTGTCCTAGATTTGAAATCTCAAAGTCTTCCTTACTGCCATCATTTTCCTCAGCCTCCACATTCTATCAGTCATCATGTCCTATTGCAATATCTGTTCCCTCACCCTCCATTTATATCCCTACCACCTTAGTTCAAGCCCTCATTACTTCTTGTTTCAACTTCATGTACTAGTCACTTAAGTCTTCCTGCTTTCAGTCTCTCAAAGATGTTCCGAATTTACCTGCTTTATTATTTGCTACACTCCTCAAAAACTGTCTGTGGCTCCCTACTATTTTTGAATAAAACGAAATCTCCTGAGTAGTCTTCCAAGCATTACACAATCTGACTTCAACCTACTTTTTCTCCCCCAGTGAATAACACTCCCCAGTGAATATTCTACAGCTAAATGGACTGATTGCAATTTTTTTGCTCTCGTTCTCTCCTTACATGACATCTACTCACCCAGGAATAGACTCCCTCTAACTCTATCTATTGAAATAATTTTATTTCAAGGTCCATCATAGATGCTACCTCCTTCAGAGCACCTTCTGATCTCTTCTACTTCTTTCTAGGTCATGCCACTTTATTTGATCCTTCCTATGCATTTAATCATTTTCTTACCTTTTCTATGGTTATTTGAATACCTGGGTCAGTCCACAGCTCCCTATTTCATTTTAAGTTCCTTGAGGGTAAAGATTATTTCACTTTTCATCTTTAATTCCTCAATACCTTCCAGGGTGCCTTGTTCACTATAACATTTTATAAAATTTTATGTAAGGATTCATTTGATTACTATGCATTTTTAGTTATCTTTACAGTCACAATTTCATCAATTTCAATGATAATTTCATCAGTTTCATTGATAATTGCTCCTTGGTCATCTTTGTTCTATGCCTCCTCAGTTCAAATCCTCTTTTGCCTCCTTATTCTCTGTGAACAGGACAATTAGAACTCAGGTTGTAACATGTCAGTTATAGCTTCACATCACAAAGAGGCATCAGAGAAAGACTATGCTAACTACTATAATTCAAGAGAAAACCTAAGTGCGCGAGAGATGCAAAGTTCTATGTGAGGGCTATTACTGACTTAGAGATGACATTTTAGTTGCACTTAAAAAGATGTGTAGGATTTCAACAGATGGAGTGAATAAATATACAAATATAACATTATACAAATTTAACATATAATTTTAGGGCAAGACATTAATGACAGATGGACAGCCAGATTGCTGTACTGGTTATCCTTATAATATCAAGAGAAAGCAAGGAAAGCCTCCAATGCATTGGGTTGACTACCTATGATGATATAGACAGTCCCTGCCCTCAAGGAGCTTACATCCTAATGGAGGAAGACAATGCATAGAAGCGAGCTGAAGAGTGTGGGATTGGTACGAATATCCTGACCTCAGAATCATAGACAAGATAGAAATAAAGGATGGCTAGCTGGGGCCATTCCTCAAAATGAAAGTTGTGGGAGAATTTACTAATGAGAGGAGATGGCCACAGGATGAGAGGGATATGCCAGGGAGAGAAGGCATGCTGAGGCATGCCTAAAATCTTTTGCTTTCATTTTAGTAGCTTCCTGGCTTGTGCTTCATAATGTGTAGATTACAATCACATCTATTCCAAATACTTGTAAAATTGGGGCAACACTCTTTTCAAAAAGATTTTTTAAAAAAAAAGATTTTTGGCTTTGCCTTTTGCAAGCTGCAGGGTCAAGAAAAATGGTTGCCTTCTTCACTTGTGCATTGTAAGGAATGAACTGATTTCCAAATATCTGACGACACTA